TTCAGAATGCTCTTTGATTGTAGGTTAACAATATATCCCAGCAACTACAACTCCCAAAAGACAAAATCAATCCCCCCACCCCAAATTGGGTATTTGTGCCCAATTTGGTCCAGTGAATGAAAATACATGCTGCATAGCAGATATTTACATTACGATTCATGACAGTAACAAAATTACAGTTATGAAGTAGGAACAAAAATAATTTTATAGTTGGGGGTCACTATAAAATTGAGGTTGAGAAACTCTGGCCTATAAGATAATTATGACAATGGCTGCAGTTTGGGAATTTTTTTAAAAAAAAGTTTAAAAGGGGGTGGGGGCTTTGCTCAAAATATCATGATTTTTCTTTTTTAAAAATGATTTAAAATTATTAGAAAAAACCTTTATTAAATTTTCATTTAAAATTCCTGAAATCAAAAGAAAATACTGAAAAATGTGGAAAAATTCTCATAATCTTGCCTAGCAGAAGAAAAGTTTTGATATATTTCATTCTTATGTTTGGAAGTAAATTAAGATGTAAAGATTGTTTTTTCTAACCAATATTCAGATTAGCTTGGGGCAAAACAGTGGTTATGGAATAGCTTTTGGAGATGAGCTGTGGCCTTAGCCTCTTTTCCACATTGCACTTGTATAGAACATGGCTTTCAATCTGAACTGCTAATTGTTTTGCCCAGCTTTCATTAGAGGAAGTTTTCAATGTTTCCTGTTACTGTTTTAATGGTTTTAATTATGGTGCTTTATACATTTTTACCATTTGTTCTTTAAGATGTTGAGTGAAATGTGTTGATTGACAGCCCTCATGCAAGCATAAGTCAAATCAAGACCAGTCATGACAGTTCCAGGATGCGAGTCAATATGCCTATGAATTCCAGTTGTTGTGGGCTCTCTAGATTCTTGTGGGAAACAGGGCATGAAAGGCCTTTGACAGACTCAAGAAAGTTATTTTTGAACTAGGTCTGCTTGAGTGCCCAAGCTAGTATGCTAGGGGGTTGGAGGGTTTGAAGGCCAAGGAAGCAACATTTTCAAACTCCAACTTTCCATTTTGTGTTTTTATGTTTCCCTCTCAGCTACAAATCTTACTGAGTGGTCTTGGGCTAGGCAGTTTCTCAAGGTAAACTGTGACAGAGGATTGCTGTTGTAGAAGAGAATGTTTCTCCATGGAATTTAGGGCATCCAGTTGCCCTAAGCTCCATGGAGATACAGAAGTACAAAACGTGACAGAGGCACAGGTAAGAGACTGCATCCCATTCACGGGAGTTTTCCATCTGCAAAGAGGTGATACATTTTGCACTGGCCACCTCCCAAGTACAACAAAGCTTTGCAAATCAATTTGGCAAGAGCCAAACAAATATGGACATCAAAAGACATGCAGGTTATGGAACACCTTCCCTCTGAATAATAACTTTTATTTCCCCATACATCTCATTTCTCTGCCTCGACCCACTCCACCACTCTTTACATCTGGTGACTGAGTTTTCAGTCTGATTCTTTTTAGATTTAATTGCTTCATCATCTGTGTATTGTTTTCATGGATGCTTTGTTTGTACAAACCCTGTGTTTGGAAATTAAACCTGCCTGTAGGAGTAAACTGTAATCACTCAGGAGAGCGAGAGAAATAAGGAAAAAGTAGAATTTTCAAAAATGCTATTTCTCCACCAGCCCAATCTATGAGTTCACTTCCTATGGTTTCAGTTAAGGAAAAAGGTAAAGGTTTTCTCCTGACATTAAGTCCATTCGTGTCTGACTCTGTGGGTTGGTTCTCCTCTCCATTTCTAAGCCGAAGAACAGGCATTGTCCGTAGACATCTCCTAGGTCATGTGGCCAGCATGACTGCATGGAGCACCGTTACCTTCCTGCCAGATCTACTCACATTTGCATGTTTTTGAACTGCTAGGTTGGCAAGAGCTGAGGCTGACAGCGGAATATCACACCGCTCCCTGGATTCGAACCTGTGACCTTTCGGTCAACAAGTTTAGCAGCTCAGCGGTTTAACCAACTGCGCCACCGGGGCTCCCTATGGTTTCTGTTACCCTGAAGAAATTATATACTGGGTTGTTGTACATTTTTTTCAGGCTATATGGCCATATTCTAGAGGCATTCTCTCCTGTTGCTTCACCTGCATCTATGGCAAGCATCCTCAGAGGTTTTGAGGTCATATACTTTATATATAAATTATATACTCTCTTCTTATCCATGGATTTGCTTTCTATGATGTAGGTTACCTGTGGTCCAAAAATATCATGTAATTCCCTCTACAGGTTCACTTCCCATAGCAACCATTATGTGAAAATATGAATGGTATAGGGTTCAGTACTAGCTATGGTTTCAGGCATCTGTGGGTGGGGCCTTGGAAAGTATCCTCCACAGATAAGCCTACTTAATATTATTTTTGTTACATATTCTACAGCTGGAGCCTTGAGATGAAAACTAGCTCTCAGAGACACTTAGCTTCAGAAGAAGTCCTGGGGTGCTTTTCTTGAGTTCTGCTAAACATGGATTCTACACACCTCATTACCCAGCAGGGCGGAGACACATGCTTCAGAGGCGTCACAGATGGCAGTCAGATCATGACCTCCTTCCAGCGCAAGAACAAGGGCCCCTCCAGCCACGTTCATCAGCTGTCGGGTCATGTAGCCAAAACCTGTAGGGAAATCCAAAGGAAATCAGAAACAATAGACTTTACCACACTTTCAGTTAGAGAAAGTTCACCATACCACTGGAGGAAAACCATTACGGACATGAGGGACTTGAGAGAAGCAACAATGGCATGCTTTCAGACTTTTGCCTATATTGGAGGACAGAGATTGTCCTGCAATTCCCTAAACTGTCACGGGTGTGTTGGAGAATCACATCCTATTTCATTTATGTAAATAAGGTTCATCTGCTAGTCTAGACAAGGATAAAAAAATATCAGGAAGGAAAATGTCTTGAGCCAGCACTGCTGTCAGAGTACCATCCTTCTGTGTCACCTTCCTCTATTATTAGGATTGCCCCAATTTGTACTAAACAGTAGGGTTGCCAGAGTGAAAACAGGAGAGGGCTCCTGTAACCTTTAATTGTTGTACAAAAAAGGGAATTTCAGCAGGTGTTGCTTGTTGTCTGGTTGCTGACACAATCGCTCTACACCAGTGGTTCTCAACCTTGGGTCCCCAGATGTTTTTGGTCTACAACTCCCAGAAATCCCAGCCAGTTTACCAGCTGTTAGGATTTCTGGGAGTTGAAGGCCAAAAACATCTAGGGACCCCAGGTTGAGAACCACTGATCTACACAATCATTTTCTTCACCACTGATCTTTCATTGCTGGACTCTACAGTTTCCAAGATGGCAACCCTAGTGAAACTTAGGCTACAGAGTTGTTTCAGTCTCAGAGGTGCTGCAATGTCCCTTTGCATACCGATACAGACTTCGCACAGCTTTATCTTGGAACCTTAACACTTGCTATTTGTCTTGCTTTACTGCAGTTAGTCTCAGAGACATATGCAAGACATTCAGCACATTTCTTTGCAAACTGTTAAAGGGTCTGAAGATGTGGCTCATGCGTGCCATTAAACATCATGTTCACATCAGTCTGAAACAGGAGCCAGCAACCATCAAGTGACAGGAGACTGCATTGCCTCTGGGGGATCTTGGAGGTCCCCTCCCAATCCATCGCTCCTGGGGAAAAGTTTGGATTTTGTTGACTTCAAATGCCCTCCTGATGCCCTCAGTGTGTGTATAGGGGGGTGGGGGATTTAGAATCATAGAGTTGGAAGATACCTCCTGCCAAGAAGCAGGAAAATCACATTCAAAACACCCCTGACAGATGGCCATCCAGCCTCTGTTTAAAAGCCTCCAAAGAAGGAGCCTCCACCACACTCCGAGGCAGAGAGTTCCACTGCTGAACAGCTCTCCTTACAATTAGGAAGTTCTTTCTAATGTTCAGGTGGAATCTCCTTTCCTGTAGTTTGAAGCCATTGTTCTGCGTCCTAGTCTCCAGGGCAGCAAAAAACAAGCTCGCTCCCTCCTCCCTATTTCATCACATGTTAACCCCGGTAAATGACATTTTGTCCAATAACAAGTGGCCTGTGGAAGTTAGCCTTATATATGTGTGTGGAAGAAAGAGTCTTATGGTTTGTTGTTGATTTTTCGGGCTGTATGGTTATGTTCTAGAAGCATTCTCTTCTGACGTTTCGCCTGCATCTATGGCAGGCATCCTCAGAGGCCACCCACAACCTCTGAGAATGCCTGCCATAGATGCAGGTGAAACATCAGGAGAAAATGCTTCTAGAACATGGCCATACAGCCCGAAAAACTCACAACACAACCCAGTGATTCCGGACTTGAAAGCCTTCAACAGTACAAGAGTCTCATGCATTATACAGAGAAGACAACAGACTTGTTGGCATGCTGATTTTATAGGCCCAGTCTACTTCAAAGCCACATTACTCCATGTGTATGTTGAAGTAGATCTATGAGAGCTTATGGTTTAACTTTTTTCTCTCATTCATTAGATAAAGTGTTCAAGTTATATAAGAAAAATGTTAACTGGTTACTCCGAAGCATATGTTCTGAATTTGGATTTCCTAAATTTGACCACCTAGAGGAATGTTTCATGTAAAGGAGGAGTTCAGCAAAGCTGGTATTCCTCACCTCGAAAGAGGAAGTGATTGAGAAACAGGGAGAGGAAGGGAAAGTGGTTTATGTGACAACAAACACCTGAGATTTTCTGGGTCTCATGTTTTTTTGGCTGAATACACTTGTTGATGACTATGCATTGCAATTGATAGTTGAGTAAATGGGAAAGCTTTGAGACAGTGTGGCATAAAACACGGGCGTGTAGGAAAGCCTTATGTTAACTAAAATCCCACATTGACCTACTACCTAATGGAAAAGGGATGTTTGAAAAGAATGCTTGATTGGAGCAATCTTTTCCAACAATTATGCCCCCTGCATCATGTGTGAAACTTCCCAGACAATGATGAGTAAATGGATGCATTTATTCCTTCAATATCTTGGAACCAGCAATTAGATGATCCAGGCTTAGATGATTCCCTTTGGTTGTTGGAGGCTCTGTCTATGGCTTTTACATACTAGACTGAGTCGCCTAAGGGCTGAGAAGGGTGGTATACAAATATAATCAATCAATCAATCAATCAAATCTAACCAAAAGCTGCTTATATGACACTTACACAGAAGCCCTCCCTGTCTGCAGATCAACCCACGTGTCTTGCTAATATTCATAACTCATAACTAGTGGGTTGCATATACAACAGGACTCAGAAATTGCTGACTTTCTTTTGCTTATGAGCTCCCTGCCTTGCCAGAGACACTGAAGGGAGCCTTACATTTGGCTGAAACTTTGTAGCCACCGAGTGGGGGAGGATGGCCTTCGGCTGCATCAAAGCCTGCAGACACCAGCACCACATCAGGGCAGAACTCGCGGGCAATTGGCATCACAACTGTCCTGCAAATGGAAAAAAGAGATCTGAGTGAAGGATGCAACGATTGTTCATAACCCTGCCTTAAGAACACAATTCTGTAATGGAAACTTATGGAATGCCTTTGGGGGTCCAAGGCAGGGGTGACCAGCCATGGAGAATCTGGAGGCCTCATTCACCTCATATTTTCATTCCCTATGGACCACAACAGGTCATAGAAGCATTGCTCAGAGCATGTGCCTGCTCTCCCAGTAGTTGCATAAACCCCAAAACAAATTATCTCACCAAAGACAAACAGCAAAGAGGCTTGGAGTTGGTGGTGATGAGAAAATCCACTGGCCCATATACAGATACTTCATTGACTTTTGGATTATCTTTTAGCTTTTGAAATTACTTTTGAGTTTTATTGGCAGCCATTGACCACACACTTAAGACATTCACCTAATAAATCTGAAAGAGTAGAACCTTACTTTCCCTGCCAAAGAAGACTGGGATGTTCCAAGAGCTGAATTCTGTATACCCAGCACTATATTTTGCCCTAGTTCTCTGTCGTCTTGTGAAACTGTAACACAGACATAAAGCTGTGAATACAGTCTGTTCCTCTCCTTCTTTTCCAGAGTCTCTTGTGTGCATTTACATATATCCTGGAGCGTACCTCTGGGAGAAAGCAGCCCAGAGCCTTTGTTTCCATAGAGAGCCTATCCCCCCATGTTGACTGTCAAACTAGGGAAGATCATAGATTTGGATGTGTTCCTAGTGACGCCAAGGGTAAGTTGGCTTGGCCTGGCGTTCCTTTATGGACACCCTGCTGTGTAAGACTTTCCCATCTTGCTTACATTGAGCCCAATAGGCCCACAACCTCGCCCGCTGGGATAAAAATCCCAGCCTTTTCTGAAGACCCATCCATCAGCTGGATCATGTTTGGCAAGCAACTCAAAGAGACACCATCTCCACAGGGGCTGGGAGCTGCATTTCTACATACAGCAAGAAAAGGGGAGGCTGTGAGCTGAGGGGGGGGGGGCTATTTATAGAACCCTTTTAAGTGCAATCAAAGCACATATGCTGGGCAGCTGTGGGAGGTGGCCATTTGCCAAAGCCTGAGCTTGGCACGTATAAGGTTTACAGTTCCAAACTGGGGTCCTGCCAAGCCCAGTTGGCCTCTATCATGGAGGCCTGAACCCCAGTTCTACTGGCTTGAACCATGTGGCAAAACTGAGTTCCAAGGGCCCCGTTCTCACGATTTTGTCTTTATGTGGAAGCAATTGGACTTCAGAGAGTCTTCCTATGATAGAAAACTCAAGGGAAAGCTGAAGGAATGCAGTGGCAAGGGACCACTGTAGATGTGGCACCATTCACAACTATGAGAATGGATCTACTATGGCAGGGAAGGTTTGGCCTCCCAGATGTTGTTGGCCTTCAAGTTCCATCAAGACCACCTGCTGCAATGCAACCTGAGCCCTGCCACATGCACAATGGAGGACCTTCTTGCAGCAACAACAGAGGCACTCCAAGTAGCCAGCTACTGGTCAAAGGACATTTAATAGAATACCAAGCCTGCAAACTTTGTGCTTTGTTTGTTTGTTTGTTTTTTAATGCAGTGCAACTGTTTTGGTTTTCTCCTGACACGATAAATAAATAAATCAACTGCAGTATGCATAACGAGTGGTGAGCAGTGATGGGAGTTGCAATTCAGGAACATCTGAAACAAACTATGATTACTAAACTGAGGCAATCATACATTGGCCATATCACCATAAGAAATACTTCACTAGAAAATATGATACTGTTTGGTAAGGCAAAAGGTAGCAAGAAATAAAAACCTGTGCAGGGATATTGAGGATCGGAGGACTTGGGAAATTTCTCATTGATAGGGTCACCATAGCATAGGCTGAAGGTGACTTGATAGCAGTCAACAACATAGTCAATTACTGTGTGAGTGGAGTCTTATCTAGCCTAAGAAACTAAGCATGAGCAAGATCTCCATTTGTCTTGTGTCATCACATCATCAGACAGTTGATGGGAATTGCTGTCCAACAAAGCTTAGATGCATCAGTGGCTGGCAGCTCTCCTCTTGATGATCAGCAAATTTATTCTGGATTTTAGTCCAAACTTTTAAGATGTTATCTAAGAGAATAAAATGAAACTATTTTGGGGAAATGGTTCAGCATTTGGATAGCTCCTTTACAGTCTCAACCAAAACCCTAAAGCAATTTCACTACTTTAGTGACATGGAAGTTATGGACTACCATTGGCTGGAGGGACATACAATCCTCACTCATGCATTTAGGTTTCAAGATGACATGGAAGTTATGGGCTACCACTAGCTGGAGGGACATATAGCCCTCACTTTTGGATTAAGATTTCAAGATGGTTTTCTAGGAACAGCCATGGTGGATGAGGTGGGGGATAGTGGATGAAGAGAAAGATTGTTAAGATATCAGCCAGAGGTGTGCATGTAATATTTGACAAGGCAGAGAAATTATTTATGGCTTGGTTCTATGGTTAATCATATTAATCTGGAAAGAAGTCAAACTGGATTCAGTGAAACTTGCATTTCCAAGAATATATGTTCGTTAAAGCAATCTTATGTTTTTTTTCTTTCTTGGCACTAAATTGTCTGGCACTACACCATCCCACTTGTGTTCTCATTTCATGGAATGGAAATGAAAAGGTCCCTTCCTTCAAAAACAAACCAACCAACAAAACCCAGGAATGTTTGCATTCCCATTAATAATATTCATGTGCGTATACTAAAAGTTGTCCATTTTTTATTCATCCTGGTTTTGTTCCTAGTATCTCCTGATCAGCTTGGAAGTTGCAAAGGCTTTGCAAAGACTTACATGCAAGTGGTGCTGTCCAATAACCATTCCTTATGTTTTTGATCCCCTCTTCTATCTAGTTTAACTTTTAGGCTGCAAACTCTGTGGTTTGTAGAAAAGAAACATTTGTTCTATGAAGTCAAATGTATATTAATAAGAAAAAGGTGGAGAAATGTGTACATCTATACAAAATTCTAGAATCCTGGCTTCTTCTACTTGTTTCCAAAGCAACTGGAATGTCACTATGAGCAGTTTCCACTGGAATAAGCCCACCAGAACTCTTTAGGTAAAATGGACACTAAGAGACATACCGGAAAGCAGCTAAGTACTCCGGATCTCCCATGGGTGGGTCAAGGCCACCTGTCCAAGCGACGTTGACTGTGAAGCCCTCACCAGCACCAGAGCCCACCTGAAAGAGAAAAACAGAAAGGTTCTCTAGCTGATGCCTTCTTCCTATCATCTCCCACTCATCTGAAGGCATCTTTTAGGAGACACCTGAGCAGGCTTCAAACCACCCTCTGCTGCAATGTGTGCAAGCATCTGTGATACAAAGAGGGAAGCGGGAACATGGTGGTGCCTTTGGATGGCAGATTATTTCAGGTATAGCCAGCAGAGCCTATATTCAGGGATAATGAGAGCTAGCCATTCGAGGAGGGTATTGACAAGATATATCATGTCCAGAAAAGAATCGACAAAGGTCTGGAAGCCAAGCCTTACGAGGAGCAACTTAAGGACTCAGTATGTTTACCCTGAAGGAAACAAGGCTTGGGGGGTGGGGGGTGGGTTGATAGCCATGTTTAAATATTTAAAAGGATGTCACATTGAGAAGGAGAGCAAACTTATTCTGTTACTCTAGAGACCATGATCAACGGATTTAAACTGTAGGAAATGAGATTCCACTCAAACATTAGGAAGAACTTCCTGACAGTATGAACTGTTCAGCAATGGAATATGCTGCCTTCCAGTGTGGCAGAGTCTCCTTTTCTGGAGATTTTTAAACAGAGACTGGATGAACATCTGTCAAGAGTGCTTTGATTGCGTGTTACTGCATCACAGAATGGGGATTGACTGGATGGTCTCTTTTAATTCCATGATTCTATAGCCCAGGAGTGAATAGGAGGGCCATACAATTTGTGTTTGAACAGTGTTTCTCAAACTCTGCTCCTCCAGATGTTTTGGACTTCAACTCCAACAATTCTTAACAGCTGGCTGGGATTCCTGGGAGCTGAAGACCAAAGGAGCACAGTTTGAGAAACACTGTCCTAGAGTAACTGAAGTGCCAAATTACATCCTCGGAAGAATCGAATAAAAAAAAAGATACACTGTCAACACTGGGTAATATATAATATAAGATAATATAATATCTATTTATCAATCTATCTGCCTCAGAATGGGAACAAAATAGAAGCACCAATCATTTAATTTATTGATGTGTTTTCTTAAATCAATGTTATGGTCTTCAGTTCTGTGGAAATATATCACCATGGCTTACATGATGCAGGTCTAAGTTTTAGGTTGTTGTTATTGTTATTATTTAAAATTCTTTGAACCACAAATATCACTGTTCAGTGAAGTATCTAAAAATAAATAAATAAATCCACAAAACCTCAAGAATGAAGCAACACCCCTGGGGAGTCATCCCCACCCTCCTCTCTTTCATTCTCAAAGCCAGTTTCCAACTTGACACAACATGGGGTACGACCAGGAAATGGGATCCAAGGTGCCATAAAGCAAGGAGGGGTGGACTTGACTCTTAGGGGCTGAAATCTGGAAGAGCAGTGGGAGCGTTTAGCTCCTCACTTGATGGTGCCCTTGAGGGGCACAATCTACTTTCTCCCATAGGAGCTGTCACTTATTTCTGTGGAAGAAACTGAAGCATAGACACACTATTTATGGAAAAGCAAAGCCTACATCAGGGATGGGGTGGCCTGGTTCTCATGACCCAGCACATTGTCCTGTCACTAAGTCCTTGCAAAGGCTGTCAGCCAGCGTAGCGATGCAGTAGTAAGTGAAGCTATGACTGAGGCTAGAGCTTGGAAATATTTTTGTATTACATGCTCAAGAAACTCCCAGTAGCCACACTGGCTTAAGACTTCTAAAAAAGAGTGTTCTAAAAAAGCAACTTTTTCAATATTTGAACCATATTAGGAATACTCAGATATGAATGAAGCTGGGGTAAACCCAAGATAAGTGATCCTAGGTTCTGTAATGCTCTCTGAATTTATTCTACTTTACTGTGTTTGCTGTGAAGTTTAAAGTGTTTGGAAAAAGCTCAGAATAAAACTGTGAAAATAAAATAAAAGTAAAATAAATATAAAGGTCTCACAATACACATAGTCATACTCCTTATCATCATGTTGGCCTTGCGTCTAGCACAAATGGACATAGATCAGTGGTTCTCAACYTGGGGTCCCCAGATGTTTTTGGCYTTCAACTCCCAGAAATCCTAATATCTGGTAAACTGGCTGTGATTTCTGGGAGTTGTAGGCCGAAAACATCTGGGGACCCCAGGCTGAGAAGCACTGACATAGATGAYTTTCCTATATAGTGATAAATGAAACACCATTAGAAAGGTTCAACTCACAAGTCCACTGGAGGCAAAGAATAGCGGTGATTCATAGAAATAGTTTGTGGTGGTGGTGTGTGTGTGTGTGTGGGGGGGGGGGAGGCAACATTTTCTCTGAAAAGATGATGAAGCCCCTGACCCCCACTGAGTTTATGAACTACTTGTGCATTAGACAAGGTTATAACAGAACTTTYTGGACATATTCATATACAAAAGTGACTAAAAAAGCAGCAGTGAATGTCAGCATGCAATATGGACATCTGCACCTTTCTTTCATGTTATAGATTCAAAAAGGTTGTAGAACACCTTTGTATTGTTGAAGGCTTCCATGGCTGGAATCACTGGGTTGTTGTAGGTTTTTCGGGCTGTATGGCCATGTTCTAGAAGCATTCTTTTCTGACGTTTCACCTGCATCTATGGCAAGCTTCCTCAGAGGTTGTGAGATCTCACAAACTCTGAGGATGCCTGCCATAGATGCAGGCGAAACATCAGGAGAGAATGCTTCTAGAACATGGCCATACAGCCCGGAAAACCTACAAGTATTCAACCTTCCTTCCAAATAAGACACTCAAGGTAGTCGACAGAAATAAAACAGATATTCAAGACAACATCTTGAGTAAAAACATACCATAAAAATAGATTGAAAGCATAGCAAAAGGCATAAATGTTGTTTTGCTGTTTTCAATATTACAGAGGGTTTGAGGGTTGTGTGTATGAGGTTAACCTCTTGTTTCATACACTACAATTCCAAGGGAAATTGCAAACCTTAAGCATGTCCTTATATCCGGCATTTTATTATCTTTTATGGAGACTGAACCCAGCCTGTGGCACAACCAAGCGTGGCACACACTGACTATTACACAGAAGGAAATAACCCTTTCAATCGTTTTTCTGTGCCTCAGATGTAGAAAAAAAATGGGTGGCTTTGGAATAACAGCAACGAGAAAACCACAAATCTTTCTGCAACCTTCATGCTCTTTGGGAAATAGCTTAGACTAGCTGCTTGTGGGCAAGAGATTATTATGCCCAGATGGATTATGCCCAGATGGTAGTGAACAGGAGTAGAACTATATTTGTTCATTTCTCAATGGGAAAGATGACAAGAATGGGGTTGGAGATAGTCTTTTAAATGGTGCTATCTTTCCAAATCATAATGCATGCTAGTTGGATCCATGAAAGAGGTCCTGGGAATTTCGCTGCAATTCTCCATTTTGGCAGAGCCCGCAACATCTAAATAGACAGTGGGGCTGATGAATTTAGGGGGAAAGAGCTCATAAAGGTGGGAGGAGGGAGCCTGGAGTGATATGCCACAGTCTCCCAGGGATCCGCACAGCGTCATAAACAATCCTTCATACCCTTTGATATCTCCTGCTCAGAGGGAAAGATGAGAACCAGATGGCAACCAACTCTTGTTCTGGCCACTTTCAGCATTAAGCCTCTTTGAAAGCAGGTTATAAAACATGATGGATATGAAGCTCCAAAGAGTTTGGCTTATCCTCCCCACCCTCCTGGCTATGAGGAAACCTCACCATCCGTCACTGATGTTGGGAATTGTCCAGCTTTGCCTTAATGAATCTCTCTCAAAAGTGCCTTTACAAGTTATTCAATCAGCCTCTTCCCCCACTCCCCCCCCCCCATGTATTGTTTTGCTTTTAAAACTTGTAAGCAGGGCTGCCATGGTATGCAAGTGCCAAAGAAAATGGTAGTTTGCAGATGACACCAAATTGGGAGGGATAGGTAACACTCCAGAGGACAGAAGCAGAATTCAAAACGATCTGAACAGATTAGAGATATGGGCCAAAACTAACAAAATGAAGTTCAACAGAGACAAATGCAAAATACTCCACTTAGGCAGAAAAAATGAAATGCAAAGATACAGAATGGGGGACGCGTGGCTCGACAGCAGTAAGTGTGAAAAAGATCTTGGGAGTCCTCATGGACAGCAAGTTAAACATGAGCCAACAATGTGATGTGGAAGCAAAAAAAAAGTTAATGGTATTTTGGACTGCATAAATAGTGTTGAGATCCAGAGAAGTTATGCTACCCCTCTATTCTGCCTTGGTCAGACCACACGTAGAATACTGTGTCCAATTCAGGGCATTGCAACTGAAGGGAGATATTGACAAATTGGAATGTGTCCACAGAAAGGTGACGAAAATGATCAAGGATCTGGAGAACAAGCCCTATGAGGAGCGGCTTAAAGAGCTGGACATGTTTAGCCTGCAGAAGAGAAGGCTGAGAGGAGAAATGATGGCCATGTATAAGTATGTGAGTGGAAGTCATAGGGAGAAGGGAGCAGGCTTGTTTTCTGCTGCCCTGGAGACTAGGACGTGGAAAGGAGTTTCCACCTGAACAAAAATTTCCTAACTATGAGAGCTGTTCAGCAGTGGAACTTTCTTCCCTGGAGTGTGATGGAGGCTCCTTCTTTGGAGGCTTTTAAACAGAGGCTGGATGGCCATCTGTTGGGGGTGCTTTGAATACGATTTATCCCAGATTATTGGGCAGTGGGGACTCATATAATGCAGTTTAAATAAAAAAAGTCTGGGATCAGATCCTGGGATAGAGGGCCTGTCTAGAAGGGCCCTAAGATAGGGTTTCCTTGGCAAAATTTGTTCAGAAGGGGTTTGCTTTTGTCTCCCACTAAGATTGAAAGAGGTGTCTTGCTTAAGATCACCCAGTAGGTTTCCATGGCCAATTAGGGATTTGAATGCTGGAGTTCAGAGTCATAGATCCTCTGAAGGATGCCTACTTCAACCAGCCAAAACCGACAGATAATCATCACCCAGAGGATCCTTTCATCAGTAGCCCCAAGAAGACTTAGAACGAGCTGCCAGAAGATGTTCCCAGAAGATGTTCGACAGCTAAATCAACTGTCAAAACGAAGGCACAACTAAAGACTTATATCTTCTGGCAGGCCTACCCAGTCAATTTTAACTTGTTAATTTTAATCTGCATTTTTGGTGAATTTTAACCTGTGTTTTAACTGGAGATATCTTGCCACATATATTTCAACAGTTTTCTGTTTCATCTCTCTGTTTTAACCCTATTGTACCCTGCCTCGAGCAGCAAAAAGAGGCAGGTAATCAATATTACAATTGTTGTTGTTGTTGTTGCTGCTGCTGCTGTTGTTGTTGTTTTTGTTGTTGTTGTTGTTATTATTATTATTATTATTATTATTATTATTATTATTATTATTATTATTGCTATTATAGCCCAATGCTCAAACTACTACACCACATGGGTTTCAAGCAGTTAGGTTACATTAGAAATTCAGGAAGAATTAGACGTTTGGGTAGGACTAAGAGTCAGAAGGCTGGTAGGGTGGGAGCCCTATAGAAGGATGAATCTAAAAGTCAAAAATGCAGAAGAATTTCTGTAATCAAAAGATAAAGGAATTTGAAGGAAGAGAAGTCGGAATGTATAGCACAGTGATAGGGGTTGGAAGATTTGTGTTCTCCACGTCACACCTGGGAAAGGTTTCTCCCTCCCTCCCTTTTGAATATATCAAACCCGCCAACCAGTGTATTTTGCAAGATAATTTTTCCAAGCTTGCTTCCAGTTGTTGTTGAATTACAATCACAACTTGCTATCATGGCTAGATTACATGAGAACTGATGTTCATCACTAGCTGGAGGCCCAGGGACAGAGGCTTGAGGACTGAAGGCTCTGGTTGTACACAAAATTGGCAGGTTGTGCCCTGACCGGGGTGCTGTGCCTTTGAGAGATTCACAGAGGAACCTACCTCATCAGCTGCTCCACTTCCAGGGAAGAAGTTACCATTGTCATGCCGATGTAGAGAGATATAGAGGACATTTGGGTCTCGGTAAAACACCTGCTGTGTTCCATTGCCATGGTGAACATCCTGAAGAGGACATGGAAGAGAGAAGAAAGACAAAACAATAGGAGGAAATGCATGAGAGCTCTCTCTTTCTCTCTTAATATCTTTTTTAATATCTTAAACACACACACATTTTATGCCATATAGATATATTAGGCATGGTTAGGTTTGGTCAGAATCTTCGTAATTCAGAATAAATTCGGAAAGATTTCCTTTTTGAAGTGATTTCTAAGTTTTTAAGGAGACTGGAAGTCCCTTTGCCCTTTCGAAGCTTTTTCTGCCATTTCTCTTACGAATCAGTAAGTGGGTCGGAAATTATTCAGCTTTTCAAACCAGTGTGGATGGATTCCCTTCGTTTCCTTTCCCTCCTGCGTCAGTTTTGGGCGAGAAAAGCAGTTTAACCCAGTTTGATGGATTCCCTTCGGTTTCCTTTCCCTCCCTCGTCAGTCTTGGGCAAGAGAAACCATTTAACCCAGTTTGGATGGATTCCCGTCGTTTCCTTTCCCTCCCTCATCAGTCTTGGGCAAGAGAACCAGTTTAAACCAGTGTGGATGGATTTCTTCCCTTTGCTCCTCCCTCCTTTCTGGAATAAAACAACTACTTTCAAAGTAAAGACCACCCAATGAAACAGGAAAAAAAAACACTTTGAAACCATTAACAAAGGATTCAGACGTCTCAGAAATTTTGAAAAGTTTTGAACTTTTTTTTCTGTGAAAATTGGAATTGACTTTAGATCCGAACCACCAGCGCCCGCAAATGAGTTTTGAACCATTTTTATCAAACAAGTCATACACACACACACACACACACACCTTAACATATAAAACTAAATAAATAAATAAAGCAACACAGGGGTAAAAAATAAAAGGGGATGAACTAGGCTTGATTTCCATCACGTGAAGTCTCTTAGCTTGTGTCTACAGCAGGCAAAATAATCTAGAGTGGTCTGCTCCAGACCTGTCCCTAAATCAGTACAGGGAGTCTATATGTACCAGCATGGAAGTGCAGTGCCTCGCACATGTTTTTGAAGTCCACAAAGCCAGTCAGGCATTAGCACCAGTGTCCTGTCTTCCTGAGGGCCACAATGGCAGTTATCTCCCTGGCAGAGTCTTGTTGGCAACATCACTTCTGGTGAGGTCATAATAGAGTGCTCAGCCATGTGATCAGCACAGCACACATTGCTACCAACTGGGGGCCTCCTTCTGGCTGGCAAAGCAGCAGTGGGTCTATCTGATATGTGAACACTGGTTCATCCCACATCTATCTAAATGCAGTTACCCAGATGCCAAACATAACAGGTGTCACTCGAGTTTCCTGGCACTTTCAGAGTATTTCTGACAGATTAAAGAACAGAAGCATTATTTTGTTGCGGAAGCCGCTGTACATCATGTGGACTGCTGCAACAGGTTTGAGGTATGTTTTATTTGGCTTGTGTAGATATGGAGTTAAATGGTATGCAAGATCATTCAGAGCCAGTTTTTACATCCTACACCTCTACAAAGGCAACGAGAAACAAACTTGCACTCTTAGGGGAGAAAACAGAAATGTTGTGTGGGAATATAAGGAGTACAGAACTCACCCAGTCTACAATAAGAATCTTATTGATCTTCCCTTTCTGCTGGAGCTGCCTGGCTGCAATTGCCACAGAATTGAAGAAACAGAAGCCCCTGCCATGGAAGAAGAGGGAGAGACATATTGACATTCAAAACAAGTTCCAATGCCCTTCGTTAGCTTCTTTTGATGTACAGATGGGGTGAACCATGTCCGGAAGCCATTGGAAGTTTCCTTTGTTGTTTGTCGCCACAGCAGCAACCATGGAATTCTAGAGAGCTCTGGGGTGTTGCCATTAACAAAGGTGCCTGGAAACAGCCAGGAGCTTTCTGGAGCTCTGTGGCCACTGCCATGGTGAAGAACTGCCATGGAGCTGCTATCTCCTTTTCTTCTTGAGTGTGATGGCATGGCAATGGAAGATCTGAGGATCTCCAACTTTTCTTAATGCAGGATAATATTGAATTAGCCAGTTTTTCCCCCTCTTGGTGGCTGTAAGTCCCTGGGTCTTGTCTGAATGCCCAGGAATGATTTATAGCTCAATTTGGCATTTGTGGGCCATGCAGATGGCCCCTTGCCTAATAATTTAACTGTCAGTTAAATATATATCCCAGTTTTCTTCCAATGAAGCTCAAGGTGGTACAAATGGCTCTCATACACTGTTATCTTCACAACAACTATTTGAGGCAGCTGTCTTCCAGGGTTGTAGCTGGGGGGTGAGGGGTGGTTAGGGGTTCAACCCCCCCCCCCCCAAATTTTCAGGTTAAAAAAAACCCTAGTTTTGTCATGAATTGTAACTGGTTAACCAAATCCTCAAGCTAAGTCTATGAGAAGCAAAAATTAAATGAGTCCCTCCAGAACTGTTAGCACTATCACCAGCAAATTTTGACAATTTATTCAGTCATTACTTGCAGCAAGAGCTGATATAGTGGAAGCAACCAATTTAGCCCACCCATAACTGGCTGGCATGGGAGGAATTTGAAACCCCTTATGAAGGAGACCAGAAAATTGATTTAATTAAATCTATATAAAATATAGAATGAACCATACTATTTAAATTATTTTGTGTTATGGAACTACTCTTCATGATTCACTAAAAAAAAATTTCACCCCCCCCCCATTTTTTTCGGGCTATGGCCTTGGTGCCTTCACATTGTTTTCAACTTATTGTGACCCTAAGGTTAAGCTTTTATGGAGTTTCTTGACAAGATGTATTCAGAGGTTTACCACTGACTTCCCTGGAAGCTAAGAGACAGTATGACTTTCCATAACTAGGTAAGAGTCCAAGGTCTACATTCAAAACACATTTTTTTTAATGTCAGGAGCGACTTGAGAAACTGCAAGTCACTTCTGGTGTGAGAGAATTGGTTGTCTGCAAGGACGTTGCTCAGGGGACGCCCAGATGTTCTGAAGTTTTACCATCCTTGTGGGAGGCTTCCCTCATGTCCCCAAATGGGAAGCTGGAGCTGAAAGAGGGAGCTCATCCATGCTCTCCCCGGATTTGAACCTCTGACCTGTCAGTCTTCAGTCCTGCTGGCACAAGGGTTTAACCCACTGCGCCACTGAGGGCTCCGCATGCAAAACACTACACCATGGGTTAGGCTGAAAGTGGTTGCCTATGGCTATCCAATGAATTATGGACCTCTATTTTATAGCATTAGAACATGGGTTTCTGAAGTGTCATCCCAGACTCTAAAATACTGCACTACACTGGCATCCAGTTCTTACTCTTGTAACCTGCTGCCTCCACAGATGGCTCATCTCTTTTGACAGTCTTGGAACTGTCATTTTGAAAAATAATACTTTTCTTGTTAGCAATTAAGCTTGTGGGTGGTACTTGTAACTCAAACAAATAACTGCATTATTAATGGATTCCTACCAATATTTTTACACTCTGCCATTAAATGGTTCACAATCTCATCAACCACCAGAAAATGATATTTTGCATTTATAAATCTTCTTCACTGTGCAAAATACAGCTTTTTGTGGATGAAGTTGTGTTAGGAATTGATGCTAGCTACTACTTCAAGTTCCTAACTTTACAACTACCACATCAGGGAGTGACTGCTGGCATTAATGAACCATCGGAGATCAAATGCCAGATGCAAAGCTTTTCACTGCAGTCATTTCACACATTAAGCTGAGCGCCAACAGATGTTGATTAGTGAAGTGATGCACATGTGTGTCTGATTGGCCGCCAATATACTAAATATTTCACTATGTCCTGTATGAACGGCAAATTCATCCCCAGAGCACAGATCTGTATGTAGCAAAGCCTGCATCATCCATGGTCAAGAGAGGGTCACAACAAGACTCAACATTTGCACAAGTATAAAACATTTCTTTTTCTCTCTCTGAAATGATAAATGGGTGTGGAGGAGCACCGTGACCAAGGACGAAGAGAACGAGGAAAGATGCTGTCCTTACATGGCTGTTGAGGGATCTGCATGGTGTCCTGGAGGCCGTACTACTGCAAAGCCATTCTGCAAGACAAATATATGTATATGCACAATTATGTACACAATTCCAAATGAACAAATAGAGTGATAGGCACTACGATCATTATTAAAGACGTTTTTCACCAATATTGACATTTAGAATGCCTAAAATGAACTCGGCTTTTCACAGACTTTTCAAAGCGTATGATATAGCCAGAGATAAATCCTTGGTTTAAATAAATACATTTTGACCCATTCCTTCAGTTTCTGTTACTGGACAGTTAAGTTCTCTTTTCTTAGTTTGCCCATGCCTGGTCTAGACTCTTTAGATCTAGACGAACTACATCTCCCCTACGAGCCTGCTGAGATCCTCCAGAGAGGCCCAACAAACTTCACAGGTATGGCTGGTGGGGACCCAAGATGGAGGCCTCTTGGTAGCTGCCCATAAGCTTTGCAAATATTTCACTGGTGAAGCTAGAATAGCCCCCTCTTTACTATTTTTCCATTGGTAGGCTATTTTTTAAATTCAGACAAGCTTTTAGAATTGAAGGTTTTTAAAATAATTGATTTATTATTTCAATTGTGCTTTTTAAATGTGTACTATTTTAACTGTATTATTTCAAGTCATTTCAGACCTATGGCAAACGTCTCCCAGAATTTCCAAGCAAGATTTGTTCAGAGGTGGTTTGAACCTTTGCTTTCCTCTGAGGCTGAGAGGATATGACCAACTCAAGATCACTGGGTGGTCTTTCATTGCTAAGTGTGGATCTGAACCCTTGTCTCCAGAATAGTAGTCCAATATTCAAACTACTACAGCATGCTGTCTCCCATGAGTACTGCTCATTATTAAAGCAAATTAGCTCTATAGTGGTAGATATTTAGTAGTGAACTGGGGAATAAGTTTTAATAAAGGCTATTTTCAAACATACTTGTGCTGCCTTTATCACCCTGCTCTTAGGTTTTCAGATGTTCAAAGACATTTTTGTACATTGTTTGTCAGCTATGCAGGTTTTGTTCTGCTCTTGTTCTGAGGCAGAATAGACACACAACTTTGACACCAACCTCTTACCTTCAGTTGCCGACTGGCCACTTTAAAGGCCAGTTCTGTGACGCTACCAGCAGCCCATCGTGCTGCGTTGCTGGAGTGCAGTTCATTCCAAATGGTATCACTATCCACCTGGAGGTAGGAAGAGAGGATCAAGAGATTATCCTGCACATCACCTTCAAGGTAGCCGTACTAGCAACATTTCTATGGCTAACAAATGCCTCAACCCCTACAGTGGTGGCATAGCCAAGAACATTATTATTTTATTATTATTAAACTTTATTTGTACCCCGCTAGCATCTCCCGAAGGATTCGATGCGGCTTACACAGGCCGAGGCCTCAACACACAACACAACAATACAATCTAAGCAAATCAAACAATTAAAAACAGAATAAAGCAAAATAAACAACAAGCACAATACACTAAACACAATAAAACTGGGCCGGGCCAGAGCAATGGGTACAAGATTAAAAGTACTGATGTGACAGGAGGTGTATATAGGGCTTCCAGGGCAAGTGCGATGTGCGATGTGCAGCAATCATTGGTTCTGATAAAGTGCCTATGGGACTTGGTAGTGGAGATTTCCTAATCTGGGAAGGCGCATCGGAAAAGCCAGGTCTTCAAGTTCTTTCTGAAGACAGCCAACAACATAGCTCAACAACAGCATTGGTGGCTATAGAGACCCAATCGAAAAGCTGTTGGAAACAGAGTGGTTTGGATCATATCAATTCTGCTGTGGACTTAACAGGGAAAATTGACTTTACGTTAGAAGTGATATCTCAGAGTTGGTGTGTGAGCCTATAATGACAGTATTGGGCATGTGACAGCTTTGCCTTAATAGGCATGTATACCGTAAATCAGCAGTTCTCAACCTTTGGGTCCCCAGATGTTTTGGCCTTCAACACCCAGAAATCCCAACAGCTGGTAAGCTGGCTGGGATTTCTTGGAGTTGTAGGCCAAAAAACCTGGGGACCCACAGGTTGAGAACCACTGCCATAAGTTGTCAGGGAACTTGAAGACACAGACATGTGCATACATAAAGTGCTAGATGGTCCAGGTCCAGGCTATTTGGCTGAGCACATCTCCTTGTATGAACCTGTTTGGGCCATGAGATCTTCAGGAGATGCCCTTCTCTCAGTCCCAACTCCATCTCAAGCCTGGTTGGTGGGAATGAGAGAGCGGGCTTCCCTTCTTGGTGGCTGCTCCTCAATTCTGGAACTCCCCGTCCAGAATGGCCCCATCTCTGCTATCCTTCTAGTGGCAGGCTAAAACCTTTTTATTCAGGCAAGCTTTTAAAGAAGAAGGTTTTTAAGATCATGTCAAGGGCTGCCACGGTTTTTAACATTTTAATGCATTCAATCTGAATTGTTTTTAATACTAATTACATTTAATAGTGTTTTAATATTGCATATTTATACATTTTATGCATTTAATCTGAATTGTTTTTAATATTAATTATATTTAATAATGTTTTAATATTGTATATTTGTATGTTTTAACATTGTATTGTCATGCTTTTAATGCTATCCACTTTGAGTCTCCCTATGGAGAGAAAAGGTGGGATATAAATAAACATAATAAATAAAAAACAAAAAAAAATCAAATGTGATGATACAGCTGAGAGGCTGTCTTCAGTGAATAAAAATTTCAGAGGGCTCCCAAGAATTGTGTCCACACTAGATCCAGAGGCCACACTCTGGCAGTGCTCAGGTTGCTGAAGAGCAATCTCCTCTACCCAAAATGAATAAAGGAAAAACTTGACATGGGGAGGGGGGAAAGAGAGAAATAACCCATTCGTGTTACCTTCTCAATTCTATTTGATTCCTCAAGCCCCCACCCCCTCATTCAAACATCTTGCTTTGATCAGACACACGTCATCGGCAAAGTAAGAGCCGGAAAACCTCAGAGATTCTCTTCTGATCAACTCCATGTGTGAGCAGAATACCCCTCTACACACACACACTACTGCCTTACCGCTCCAGGCGTGTGCTCGCTCTCCCTCTTTCTCTCCGGGTGCAGGGGAGCAGGGAGGGAAGAGAGGCATCAAGGCCCATCGGTAAGAATAGGGGAAGGCACAGGGAGAAAGATACAGAGATCAAAAGAAAAAGAGCCAGGGGATTAAGAGAAGGAGAACAGGGTTGGGCTGGGAGGCAGCATCCTGGAAAAAAGGGAGGAAGAGAAAAAGAGAGAGAGAGAAAGGTACGCAAGAAGATAATGAGTGAAAGTGAACATGGTAGAGAGTCCAGAAGGGAAGGGGGACATGAAAGATAGACAGAAGTTGGAACTGAAGAAATTCCAACCCACCCTTTAAACCCAGCTTAGTCCTATCCTGTGTCACCAAATCCAATCAGGTCAAGGCTGCCAAGGAGAGAAGGGAGTCGCAGTGAAAAGAAGTGTCGGTGGTTGACCACATGGACCATCACCAGAAAATAACTGCCTTTTGGAAACTGGTGTATGTTGGTCTAATTCTCACCAAGATGCTAAGCTGCATCTGGACTTCATTACTTCAGGGAGAAAGAGAACATTCTTCTTCATCTCTATGTTTCGTACATGCAAAGTGTAGATATCTGGGAAATGTCTAGGCTAGAATCTCTGTTCTTGACTTTCAGTTTTCTGTGTCAACGCATATGTTTGGAGAGTCATTGTGTCATCTGAGCCTCCAAATATTTCAAACATGACACCGCCCCAAAACAGTATGACTCTCAGGGTTGTTGTAGGTTTTTTGGGTTGTATGGCCATGTTCTAGAAGCATTCTCTCCTGATGTTTCGCCTGCATCTGTGGCAGCCTCACATGCTTCTAGAACATGACCATACAACCCAAAAAACCTACAACAACCCAGTGATTCCAGACATTAAAGTCTTCGACAATAGTATGACTCTCATACAATATGTTCCTGAACTCATACTGAAAAAAATGAACTGCAGATAGCAATGAACCCCAATGAAAGCACATCATAGAATTGGACTGGAGGACCTAGGAAATGCCTAGAAATAATAGTGTTCTTCTTTTTTAAGTCTTCCAGCATGGCTCTATCATCAATGTCAGCTGGAAGTATATCATAGAATCAGGCTGGAGGTCCTAGAATTGCCTAGAGAAAACATTTCTTCAGACTTGGTTAAGGGAAACTATGGGTACCAGTTCCATGGGTACAAAGATCATACTGTATAAATTTATCATTAAAATAATATCATTTTAATTTATTATTAAAATTATATCATTTTAATTTCTCATTAAAATGATAAATAGGCTGAAAGCCACAAGGTGGAGAAATGGATACCTGGACAGTCCCAAAACCACTTTGGTTTCTGAGGGTAGATGACTGTTCCATGCTTCTGAAACCTATGCATATATTTATTTCCAGTTCACTAATATAGTTTCACCTGCTTTTCATTGTACTCTAGTCATCCCAAATCCAGGTTTGTGCCCGTTGTCTTGGGGGAAAGAGGTAGACCTTTAATAGCAATGAGGTCTTGGGCTTTTTCATCTGCACAAATATAACACCATAATTCCATTTTAATTGTATAGAGAAACCTGGGGTTTGTAGTTCCTGTAGGACTCCCTGTATTCAAAGAAAGAGGCATCCAAACTGAGAGACAGCTGAGTAGGAATAAAACTCCTTCCTTATAACTGAAAGCAAAAAAGGTCCAAAACTTGCTCCACCCTTTTATCTACATCCTCTACTTGTCTGCAACACTTCAATTACTCCAGGTCTGATTTAAACCACCAATTTTCCAGGTAGTTGGTTAGACCACTAACTATCCTGTGTATTTCTGAGAGGTAAGCCATATTACAATGGTGAATTGATATGCTAAATCAGTCTGGATTAAATAATGTCACATTGAGGCCATGAGTCAAAAGCCCAACTCACATTCTCTAAATCTAACAAATTTTCACATTGTGGCATGCTTTGAGAAAGTCGAGAAACATGGAATTGTCTTTGTTGCCTAAAACGTCAGTGTAGTGCCATGTATTTTGAAACTTGTTTCACCCATTTCCTGCTAGCCCAGAACACAAAGTAACCAGAATGAAGGGCTCCTCATTACGGGGAGTGAAGTTTAGAAAGCATCTCTGATAGTCCATCTTGCCAAAGAAGAAACTTACCCCAACTCCACCGCAAGGCAGCATGACAAACATTCGCTGGGACAGGATTCCTGAAAAAGAGTGAGAAAGTGACCAGAGTTAAACATAGAGTTGGCAGATCTCAGGGCCTGGGCAAACTTCCCTATTCCTTAGAGTGAAGCAGAAGATTATTAGGGTGAGAGTTTTCCCAATTTTTTAGACATGGTATTAAGCCTTAAGGTTTAATGGCTTTCCTAAGATTGCCCTTTGCAACCCCTGGGACATTGCAAGGGGTCATTCTGAAGCCTCAAGTTTCGGTGCTGAAAACTTTAGACCAGGGATTACTCTGATCTGGCAATTCTAGTTGTAGCTGAAAGCATGTGAGAACAACACATTATGTGGGTTGATAGATATGGGAGTTTATGGAAATGATACTTTAGAACAGAGGTTTTCAACCTGTGGATCCCCAGATGTTTTGGTCTACAACTCCAAGAAATCCTAACAGCTGGTAAACTGGCTGGGATTTCTGGGAGTTATAGGCCAAAACATCTGGGGATTCACAGGTTGAGAACCGCTGCTTATTTATTAATTATTTTATTTCATGCATTTCTACCCCACCCTTCTCCCCCCAAAGGGGGACTCAGGGCAGCTTCACACAAGCAACAGCATATAAACAATCAAAAATTACATTTAAAACAGTAAAAATCATTAAAAACGTTATACAAATTCATTAAACAATAAGTTAAACATGCCAATTATAACCAAGTCCAAATCAGGGTAAATCCAAAGTTGCAGATATCCTAAGTTTTATTGTCAATTGTCGCTGTCCACTGCTTTAGATGCATAGCAACTTAACAAAAGAGAAATATATTTAACCGGAGTGGTTTCCCTTCCAGAAAGCTGGCAATTGTTCTGCAGAAGAGCTAAGCAGGGAATCTTGAGGAGCTTCATAATGGTACAATTCCCAAGATTCTCCATGGAAAATCTTGAAGATTAAGAAGGTTTTCAATGTGTTTTTATTAAATATATAGATAGGCAACCCAGCATGAGGCCTCCCAGATGTGTGGAGTTCAGTCTCTCATAATTTCTGACCATTGGGCATTCTGTCCGGGGCACCTGGGAATTGTTTTTGAAAACATCTGGAATGTCTCCAAGTTGCCCACTCCCACACGGTGTAATTGGAAATAAATGAACTTTGGGGGAAGGGCAGAAGTTGCAAACTCTAACTTGTTCTTTCTCTGTCATACAAGCATGGAAAAGGAGTGGAAGCCTGGAAATGAATGAAGAGCTTCTGTGCCTGTGTGGCCAAAGCAGAGAGTGGGAAATGACTTTTAAAAAGGAATTTGCTGTGTATCTGATTGCAAAGGATCCCCACATAGGTCATTACAATTGCCACCCCTCCCCAAGTCTTGTCCCCAAATAGTAATTCTTGAGTTATATTATTTAATATTTTCCATTACTTAATGGGGGAAGGAGGAGAATCAATTTTTAAAAGTTTCCAAAAGTCTAATTTTTGTGGGAGAAACATCTCAACAAGGGCATAAATAACCTAAAGGGGCTATTTCTGATCTTGGAAGCTACAAAGGTTAGCTCTAGTTAATACTTGAATGGGGGATTGTCAATGAATACCAGGTGCTTTAGGCTGTATTTTAGAGGAAGGAACAGCTAAAACCACCCTGAGATCTTCCTTGCTTAAGAAAACTTTATGAAATTCATGGGTTCCCTATACACTGACAGGCAACTTGAAGACACATGCACGCATATCCTTCAACATATCTGAAAAAAATAATGTAGTCCTTGGGCCATAAGGAGAAAAAAAGAACATAAACTGGAGCACAACTTCAAAATAAGATCCATGAATATTAAAAGTATGCCCCAGCTCATTACAGCTAGATGGTCATCCCCATGCCAGGAAGTCCATTTCTTCCTCTTTCCAACAAATTGTCAAGTGATAAAAATGGTGGTTCTCAAAGAAGCCTGTCTGAAGGGGTGTCGGTGAAAGAAGTGATTGCCATCTCTTGCTTGCACATGGGTCTGACCAAAAAAGGACTTTACTTAGGGTAGCATATTTCCTTCTTTTGTTCTTCTCAGCCTAAAACAACGAGCAAGAGTAGAGTGACTTTGGCTTCTACCTGCCAATTTCCCATTGTCCAGCTTCAGGCGGCTGAGGGGGTTGGTGCCATACAGCAGCACATGACGCTCGGTGTGAACAGACTGCAGCTCCTCCAAAGTGGCCTTGCGTCCCCGGAGGCACTGTTAAACAGAGGGACAAATCCAGTTAAGTCAAGAGAGCCAAACCTCAGTATGAGGCCTGCCACCGTGATTGTGGGAGAGCAGTATCACGTGAGATTCTAAGATGACTACAATGATAGGGAGAAATGGACAAATCTTTCCCTATCATTGGAGCTCATGGTATTAGCATCTTGGCTTACAAAATCATTTTATTGTGTCACAACCACTGTAGGAATTAAAGCTTCCTCCACATTGTTTCATTTCATCTCCCCAAGAGGCAGGACCATTTAATTCAGCAGATTTGAGGCACCAACAAACGTGGGTACAGTTTAGAGACCAATTCACGATGATTCCAATTATTATTATATTATTATAATTATATTTATTTATACAAATCTGTGTCTTCAAGGGGGAGATTGTGCACTGGCCATTTCCCCATTCCAAATATCAACTAGAGTTAAAACAGAATTGCCTGCTGAGGTGACAAGAATATCCCCAAGAGCCATCAGGAAGCCATCAGCTTCCTACATGAAGTATCCTAATTGGTTCCCCACACCTGCAGATTTCCCACATCCCAGTGAGTTTAAACCTGACTATATAATGATCTATCCATTACAATGGAACCTTGGAGAGTTAATCCACACTATGATTACTATTTTCCCATCATGTACAGAAAACGAGATCAGAGTGTGCCCAGCAGCATGGATAGGACCAATCACTACTTAGAACAGACCCATGGTTGTTAAGGACATCATGGAGCCAACCTTGATAGAGTCATGTAATCATGGATATTGTTGTCTCCCAGCACTACTACTAGCTGCTGAGATTCCAACACCAGCCCTGAGGTTGTCCTGGAAGGGAAACTTTTGAGCAGCAGAGTGTGGTAGAATCCCTATTCTGCCCAACTAGTTACCTTTAGATATACACACTCGAACCCTGCAGACTATGGGGAGGAGCATCTGATGAGGGTCATGGAATAATGATAGACTACTGCAACTCTACCTCCCCTTCCCCCACACCTCGCTGCTGTACACAAAAGCCTGGTTGGCAGAGATGGGAGAGATTAACACACACACATCTGCCCAGTCTCATCCCACCAGATCTCTGTAATATAGGTCAGGTCACCATTCAAAACCAGAATAAAATTTTAAGTGGCATTTATTTTCTTATTAATTGACCTGGCATTCAACAGAAATATACTTAACACAGGAAGGTCAGTCACCAAGGCTATCATAATATTTGATCTGAGATAGTTTGGCGGATATGAGGTCGATACCATGCAACCCTGGGATATGCAGTTGAGAGGGAGGCCACTTAAATTCTTAGCTTTGGTGCCTCTGGACACACTATCAAACCCCATAGGATTCCATAGGATGCAGTTATGGTAGTGACAGTGGAATCACAGTGCTATAACCTCTCCGAGTCCCCTTGGGGAAATGGTGGTGGGGTATAAATAAAGTATTAATATTATTATTACTTTTATTATTATTATTATTATTATTATTATTATTATTATTACCATGCAGTGTGAAAGATCTGCTGGTAACGTGGACTCATACAAAACAAACTATGGGGAAATTTTTCCAAAGGTGTCTCACTGCATAAAGTTGAGATTAAAACCTTTATACAAGACAAAAACTCTTTCTGATTTTTAGAATTCCTGAGCTTGATTTTCCTTTTCTAGTATTTTATGGAAATGAGTGCTTCATATCTGACTGATGCTATGGGAAACTTACAAAAAGGGGGATGTATTTTTGTTTTACTTGTGTTGGCCATTTCTTATATTTTATCATTTTCCTGTGGTCTTAATCAGTGTTTCTCAAACTGTGCTCCTAACCCTCTCACATCAAATGTGTTTTTCAATAGGGAAATTTCTGGAAATTTTACTGTAGCACTGCACCACAGAAGATCTTGTCTGGTCCTGCTCTCCACCTACAAGACTCCCATCTTTTGTCTCTCCACCCAATAGGTTCTTCTCTTGTCTTCCTCTTTTTCTACCTCTATTATCTTCATCAAGATGCCACCATGTTTCAGACCTAACCAGTTTTCTTCTGGGTTTAGTGGCACAAAGAAAGCACACTAATATTGCTTAGCAACTGTAAAACAGAACTGAAAACCATCTCTGCCATTGTCATTTGGAACAATGGGAAGGAAGTCTCCAGATGTTCCATTCTGCTCAAACCTTCTTAAAATGAAAAATGCCCTTTCATTATCTCCATTACAGAAGTGGTATTTTGCCCAGAATGAACTTTAGTCCAAGTTACATTTAGGGGTAGTTGGCTGTGGAAAATGGTGATTGTGAATCTGCCTCACGGTTGTTACCAGGTAAAAAGAGGAAGTGTGGGAGTAATGAAATAGTTGCCTATACCATAGTACGATATAGAGAGGGCTCTAATGGAAAGCAAAATCTCTCTTCATAAATTTCTTGAGATGTGCAACTGCTTTGGTAAATATACACACATCTGTAGAGCATCTGCAAAATAGGCGTCTTCAGAAAACATGGTGCTGCCTTTATGGCGCAGAATTTACAGGGCATGAGAAATTTTTGCTGCTCAATGAGTCAACAATCCTTTGAATTAACAAGGACATTCTATGACACTTTTTTATTGTTCATGCCGGGGGGAAAAACATGGGAAGGGTGGAACTATACATTATGTTTAAAGTTTATCCTTGGTCTCTGCCGAGAATCTTAATGACGGAGATAAAGGACACGAGATAGGGTGAGTATGGAGGAAAACTGCAGTGCAGATAGAGAATGGCAGAGGGCCATGCTGTACCTTTATAGAAAGCAGATCTTCTGCTTTTCGTCTTGGATTGGATTCCCACAAAAAGAGAGGCTTCATATTTGGGAGGCCTGGCAAATTCTTAATCCTAAAAGCACCTTTACCCTCCTTCCTAATTCTCCAATAGATAATGGAACCACCTATTTATGCAAGAGATAGTTTATGTGTCTGTCTCCTAGGCCTTACGAGACATTAAAAATTAGGGGCACTGGTGTTCGATTTCTAAAGTGTTTTTATAGTGCAGTTAGTAAAAAAATTGTTACTATAGCAAGAGTGGTGACATTTCAGGGGCCTCTTTCGCCTTCATTTTTACAGCTATTGGGGCGAAACTTGCTACAATGGCAGAAAACATTTACCACTGTTAGTCCATCATGTTTCAGAGCGTTTCTCTTATCCACAGATATTTGGGGAATTTTCAAAGTTTTTATAAATAACTTTTAAAAACTCCCAAGAGCTATTGCTTTGAATTTTCTATACAATGACATAAGGAAACAGGGGATCATTCCTCCCTGCATAATGGGTTAAACCCTTGTGCCAGCAGGACTGCTGACCAATAGGTCAGCGGTTCCAATCCAGGAAGAGCGGGTTGAGCTCCCTCTGTCAGCTACAGCTCCCCATGTGGGGACATGGGAGAAGCCTTCCACAAGGATGGTAAAACATCAACTATCTGGGTGTCCCCTGGGTAACATCCTTGCAGACGGCCAATTCTCTCACATCAGAAGTGACTTGCAGTTTCTCAAGTCACTCCTAAAATGAAAAATTTCCTCCCAACCTTCAGAAATATTCTACTGATTTTAGGGATCATCTTCATTGTTCTTCTTAATATTATCTGCATGCTGCCTTTCACCCAGAGTGGGACCCAAAGTGGCTTCCATCCCAATTAAAAACATATATTCACAAGAAAAAAAAATGAAAACCCACACAAAACAATATGTCTTAAAAAACAAACACAAATCCCCATAAAACGCTCTCCTGCTAACACATTTAAAGTTTCTCTCAGTGCACCCGCCACCTTATCTGACGCCTCAGATCAAAGCAGCAAAATCAATCTGAAGAAAATATATTTCCATGCAAAGTTTTGGCCTGCATCGCCCCCTACCTCACACTGGCTGCGTAAGCCCCGTTCCTGCAGTCGAGACCAGATGCTCTGGATGCGGCCAGCATGTTCAGGATGGTTGCTATTGTCCCCGCAGGAGCATTGGTGCTTCAGCATGACCGAGTCATACACAATTCCTGCAAGGAAAGGGCAAAGGATGTCCAAGTCACACATAAAATTCTCTCTTGCTAGCTTTCTTTCTCTGATATCAATTTAACTCCAGGAACTGATTAGAACATGAAAAGTCAGCATATTGCACAGCCTGCCCAGGATGTAGTAAAAATCGGAGGAGAGGAAATGTGAATTTAAACATTTATTTCTGTCAGTAAGCTTTCAACAGATGGATGTTGCTGATAGCATGCATGCTTTTCTGATCAATGCCCTAAAATATGTACCTAAATTACAGGATGCAGATTTTATACTTAAATGAATTAACAATAACACTAACAGTCATGCTAATAACAAAAAGAACAAGGGGCAGCTTCCAAAAATGTCTTTATTTCGTTGCAGTCTGAACTGATTCAGTCAGAACTTGGAAAATATGCTTATTCAGGCTACAACTCTGGTGGCTAGCAGATTCTGGGAAATGTAGTCCAAAAGGGTCTACAGTCCAGAATGAGCTGTATGTACTACACACTATTCCTGAGCTTTTCTACTGATCTTGAATGAGACTTGCTGAGGAGATAATGTGATCTGGTTGAAGTCCATGTTGTTTAGGTGCCTTCAGGAACAAATAACTCATTTTATGCATGTGTAGGTTGCAGCCCTCCAAGCTTTCCGGGGGAGCAACTGCAGACCTCTAGTGCAACTGGAACAGGCACGTTAAACCAATTAGGCCAGAAATTGTTTCTGGACGTTCACACAATGTCCAGGAACATCTGGCATGTAACACCAATGCAGAGTAAAACAGGTTAACTTTGTGGTACCTTGCATTACCTGATGTTGAGGAATGCTCTACAGTTTTGCCACAACTCCAAAGCAGCCCCACACATAGCAGTTGGTGTTGACAGATGGACTTGTTCTAATTTGAACTGGTCCACTCTCTATGCAGACCAGTGCTGTTGTCTCTTTTCCCTGCACTCTGTAGCACAGGGAAAAGAGGAGGGGACTTAACTTTGCTGTCATTTGTCACCACAGCAGCTGTTCACAAAGCTCTGGAGGGTGTGTGGACATTGCTGGACACGTTTGCTGGGCAATTCCCCCTCCTTCTCCCCAGGTCACACAAGCACCTTTGTTGATGTCAATGAAGGTGTCCAGTGACACCTATGAGCTTCTAGAACTCCACAGTTGGCTGCCATGGTGACAAAGGCCAGAGTGGCCAAACAGCCACTGCAGTAGGATGGAAATGGGTAGTACAGCTGCTCCCGGGGCCAGTCTAGAGTATTGACACTCTGGACTGGCTGCTGATTTCGTGGCTTATGTAGCTGAATCCTGTGACAAGCCTGCCAGTTTATTTTGGCTACTTATTTGAACACATTGAGGGGGAAAATCTGCTGTTAGCAGAGATCCTTAACTTTGAGGAAGGCAGAAAAAGTCAGTAAGAATCTCATGGGATTTTTTAAAAATAATTCACAGTCCTGTCCCATGGTGCAGAACTGTTGAAGTTGTAGTCCGAAATTCTCTAGAAAACCAATGTTTGTACATCTCTGACACAGGAGATCCAAAATGTGAGGTGAGATATGTTACCTGTGGTGAACCGTGGTTTGGTGGACTGTTCTTGCACTGGTGGTGGCAGGGCCTTGGAAGATGTGTCCTGGTTGGGTAGGGATGCAGTAGCTGGGGCTGGTGACGAATGAGCTCTGGAAAGTGGCCGGTGGCTTCCACGGGCAGCAGGGATCAGCAGGGAATCAGAAGCAGGCTGCCTCTGAAGAAGCTGGTGCTGCTGGCCACGCTGTTGGTGCTTCTCCCAGGTATACTGGGTCTGTGGATGGGACGAAAACAGACCGTCACATCATGGGGAACAACCTCCCCTTAAAAATCAAATGACCCCCTTCTGGATTTCTTTTATTCCACGGTCATGTACAAAGCACTGAGCCTCCATGTCACTGCCCTCTTGTGCATTCAATTGATGCACACTTTGGCTTATCAGAAACATTATATTATGAAGAACAGAACAGGGGGAGAAGGAAATGCGGAAGAGAAAAAGAAAGGGAGGCAAGATAATAGCATATTCCAGCACATAGTCTATTTCAGATATGCACTGAAATCATCAGAACAAATAACCTCTCTACTACAGACCTTGCAAAAAGGAAAATTGTTTTTGTGGGAAACGATAAGGCAGCCTTTTCCCAACCTTTGTTCCTCAGATTTTGATGGAATACAACTCTCACTATTCCCAAACATGAGTATGAAGGTTAAAACAACAAATGAAAGGTAAAAAATGCTGTCTTACTGCAGTTGTTCTCAACCTGTGGGTCCCCAGATGTTTTGGCCTTCAATTCCCAGAAATCCTAACAGCTGGTAAACTGGCTGGGATTTCTGGGAGTTGTAGGTCAAAACACCTGGGGACCCACAGGTTACGAGCCACTGGCTTAAGGGAACCGTGGGGGGGGGGGGGGGGTCCACAGTTGGAACAGAACTCAGAAGTGCTACTTTTTGGACTATGTACCCTTATTCCATTTGTTAGTGTTGTTGTGTGCTTTCAAGTCATTTCCTCATGGAGATCTAACGTGAATCTTCCTTGCCAAGATTTTTTTGGATGCAGTTTGCTTCCGCCTTCTTCTCAGGCTGAAATAGCGTGCTTTGGCCAAAGTTTTCACGACTGACCAGGGTTTCTCCAGGGTTATACCCTCATGCTGAAACTTCGACACTATGTAGGCTCTCTAGACAGTGTGGCAGGGAGATACGACCCCAAAGTCTAACTTTTTCCAAATAATGGGTTAGGTCTTTAAAATATCTTTTTATGGAGTTGCTTCACTCTATTTGGGATTTACAAGCTGCCTTTAAGAATGAACAAAAGCTTGTTCGTCCTTGCTGAACAAGAAATAAAGAGAGGAGAGAGAAAAGAGAAATAAAGAGTGCCTCCTACTGGGGCAAAGTTGTCATTCTCCCCTTCATTTCCCTTCCAATACCTGATGAAAGATATGATCCTCCTGGGGCTGACCCAACCTGGCGCTCCTTTCTGCCTCCTTAGTGCCAGTTCCTGCTGATGAAGGCTCCACCTGGCTTGGAGGAAGGTCACTCACATCTCCTCCTGCCTCTGCTTCCATATCTTCGGAAGAGGGGATCTGCTGCAACCGAGGCTTCTCACTCTTGGACATGCGCTGTAGCAGGTTAGTGGGGTGGGGTGTAGAAAATGGATGCATTTAGCCATTCTGTTTAATTTCTGTTTGCTACTTTTCAAAATGTATCTATCTTATCTGTGTCTATTGGTCACAGAAAAGGGTACCTAAAAAGCATTTCACACTAATGAATATCAAAGCAACATTCCTCAAAACATGGTTAAACTAAAACACAACTGAAGTAATACAGAAGTGTTCATATTGTGGATAAAACTCAAGACAGATTAATATGTGAAGTCGGCTCCTGCTCAATTTGTCTAATTTCTATCATTTAAGTTTGTTCCATTGCGTTACTGTATTGATTTGTGAGATTTGTTTTTAAAGGATTACCAAAGAGTTTTTTTTACTGCCCTTGCTATGATATGATTTTGTACATTCTTTCTCAAGTCTACCCATCTATCCATAGTGCATTTATGTGCTTTCAAGACATCCGTTGACCTATGGCATCTCCACAAACTTTACAGGGTTTTCTTAGGCCAGGAGTAATAATAATATAATAAAACTTTATTTATATTCCACCCTATCTCCCCTGGGGGACTCAGGGTGGATCCCAAGAAACAAAAAGGCAAACATTCAATGCCTCAATAACAGTAAATATAAATATAGTAAACCAAAATAACCCCACACAAAGATCAAGTTAAGTATAACAACTATAATTTAAATAAAACATAATCAATTGAAAATTATAATTAACATAGAACTTAAACGTAAAACATCTGAATAAATATATCAAAACAACACAAAGGTTCACAGATGTGTGCACAGACTGTATGGACAAAGTTGTTAAATGGGCTAATTTGATCTAACAAGATTTGAGTGCATTTATACTATTCTGAGTATTTCCAGGTGTTTCTCCAGTTCCTTATAGTTTATAGTACCTAGTATTCATTGATGGTCTCTCATCCAAGTACTAACCAGGAACCTAGTACCTTTAGGATACTTAAATTTAGTACACAGCAGCTTTGTGTGCTCATTCCCTTAATATTTACGTTTTGTACACACTTTATACCAAATATACACATATATGACTGAATACAAACACACACACACTCCAATGCTGACACGGATTCCAACATGTGGCAAAATGTGGATTTTTGAGCACAACTGTTCTGTATTGAAACAACATTCTTCTTTATGTAGCAATATTCTGTTTTCCATTCTTGAGTTCGGAGTAGAGCTACTGCTTTGGGAGATGGTGGTCGGGCATCCGGACAATGTGGTCGGTCCAGCAGAGTTGATGGCGGAGGACCATAGCTTCAGTGCTGGTGGTCTTTGCTTCTTCCAGCGTGCTGACGTTTGTCCAGTTGTCTCCCCAGAAGATTTGCAGATTTTCCTGGAGGCAGCGCTGATGGAATTGTTCCAGGAGTTGCATGCGATGTCTGTAGACAGTCCACGTTTCACAGGTGTATAGAAGGGTTGGGAGGACAATAGATTTATAAACAAGCACCTTGGTATCCCTATGGATGCCCCGGTCCTCAAACACTCTCTGCTTCATTCAGAAAAATGCTGCACTTGCAGAGCTCAGGCAGTGTTGTATTTCAGTGTCGATGTTGACTCTGGTGGAGAGGTGGCTGCCAAGGTAGCGGAAATGGTCTTCAAAACCGACCTACTGACAGCATAATTTTAGGAATTCTCCCTTACAATTCACAAAAGAAGGATTTGAAAGATACCAGTGCCTTCACATACACACATACACACACACACACAGATACACACTTATTTGGGGGGGGGGGGGGAAGAAAATGGCTCACCTTGCCCAAAGGTGTCTGGTGTTTCAGCCGCTCGAGGAAAAGGGTGTGGTGTTGCTGGTAGGCCAGCTGTTGTTGTACGGCTCTGGAACTGGGTGGCAGAGGCTCTGAGCGCGTCCGTCCCAAGGGCTTGTGGATTGGCACCGAGAGCCGCTCCGGGGGAAGCACCGAATGGCTGAAGTGAAAGGGGACTGTTCCCAGACCTGGAACTATAAAGGAACGAGAATTCATAAGAGCAAGAATGGCATATGAAAGAGAAGGTTAAGAGCACTATTTGCCTGTCATGGTTAAGGTGTCAGGTCACTTGGGAATGCAGTTAATGGGAGTGAAAAAGTATGAAGTGAAATCTTAAAATACCTATTCCAAATCTGAAGCAGCCTTTCTGTCCATAGTTTAGTTGAGACAAATTCAAGAAACAAATCTGATCATTTATTTGTGAAGCACTTTCATTTTATTGTTTCTAATCTACAAAGAAGACTCATTGAAACGTGGGTGAAGCTTTCTATGCTTCATTCACCATGTGTCCCGGAGCCCTCAATGGCACAATAGGTTAAACCCTTGTGCCAGGAGATTGCCACAGTTCAAATCTGGGGAGAACAGTTTGAGCTTCCTCTGTCAGCTCCAGCTCCCCATGCGGGGACGTGAGAGAAGTCTCCCACAAGTATGGTAAAACATCAAACATCCGGATGTCCCCTGGGCAACATCCTTGCAGACTGCCAATTCTCTCACACCAGAAGCAACTTGCAGTTTCTCAAGTCACTCTTGACACACACCAAAAAACCCATGTGTCCTGCTGTTTCCTAGTGTATCAAGTTCTCTCTGTTATATTGGAAAAATGTAAGCAAACAAACAACAATACTGCCTGTATTTTTTTTAAAAAAAGGAATCTTGCACTGATCAGAGCACCTAAAACTATGGAGGATATGCCAAATTCTTTGCTGTTCATTAGAGAATTGCATTGACATCACTGACCGCAGACAAATAGTTCTCAGCATACTCTGTCCTCCACTTTTATTTCTAGTTTTTTCTCTGATATAGTGTGTTTTGTTTTGCAATGTGTGTGTTCTGGGTTCATCTGCCTTTCAAAATTGCAAAAGTGCAGTCCCAGTTCATCCAGTCACATTTCCTTCTCATTAATTTATCCAACCATTATGACTGGTTTAGCTTAGCATTCTCTCCCAAAATTATAACAGTTAATGTAACAGCCTGTTCTTTCTTGGAAAAGGTCACTGAAATATGTGTGTGCTAAAAACAGGAAAATGATGCTTGAAACACTTCTTCGGAACTTCTGGCAATTGTCGGGTGGAGTAGAAATTAAACATGGAAGTTATGGAGAAAATAAACAAACACCTTGAATAGAAAAACAGACGAAGGGAAAATCCAAAGGCTTAACAAAGCCTTTTCCAGACATAAAAACTGCAGAAGTGCAATTAGTATGAAAATTAATGTAGGCATGCAATTCTACCCACACTTAAGCAACTAAATGGGTACAAAGTCAAAGTTGGTGGAACACCATAGTTGTCTATGAATAAACATACATTCCATTGAATATAATGCTTTTTACTTCCAGGAAAGTGGGTGTAGAAATGCCAAAAAACAGGGGGTGGGAGAATACTTGAGGAAGGAAACTAGGTTCCTCCCTTCCTCCTTTTCTTCTTGTCAACCCCAAAAGCAGTCAACTGCTGTACAGCATCTACAAAATGTATTTCTGTGCATTGACATAATTTGAGCTGTATCTGGGTACAATGTTAAATCACTCAAGGAAAACAAAAGTCCCAAATGGAAGGGAAATATAAATAATGCAAGGGTAAGCAATTGTTTTGTCCAGATGTTTTTGACATGCAGCTCTCATAATCATATATCTTATTAAATGCTGGATAGGGATGATGGAGGGCAAAAATGTCTGCACGATTCCTGACATAAGAGCACAGCAAGATAGTTTATAGATTTGTGGTGAGCTAAGTAGAGGAAGCACGAATTTCTTTAGATAGAGGAAAAGAGTACCATTTGGGAAAACTGGGGCAAGAGTTTCCTTTTCTGTTTCTCAAATGTGCCATTTCAGTCCAAATGATTATTTATTTATTCACACAATTCATAATTTGCTTTCCTCGTGCCAAAAGGCCCAACTGTTAAAATAACAGTTCAGCTAAAAATGTAACATGATACAATTGTTTTAAAAAAGTTTAACATCACTTCCATCAAAATACATAGCTACAAGCAATTTTAAAATGGATTTAAAACATGATTAACACAAACTAAATAAAAATGGAGACGTCTCTTTGAACCAACTCTGCCATATGATTAATCAAAGGCCTGGTTGAATAAAATCAGTGAAAGGCCTGACTAAATAAAAAGATCTTAATCTGAAAAGAGATCTGGTAGGAGCTAACCAAACGTCCTGTGGGATGCAATTCCTCATTTTAGGAGCAGCCACTGGGACGGTTTTCTCCTATAGGATTGTATAACCAAGCATGACTGTGAAGATGGCAAAAAAATGCTTCTCTGAAGATCATTTTGTGCAGGTAAATATGCAGTGCTGTATGTCTATCCTTGTCCATTTCTCCTTTATCATGTAAACGTGTTATGATGAATAAAGACACACAGTAATCAAGTGAATCTGGTTGGCATGGTGCTTAGAGTGTTGAACTAGGCCTTGTGTTGGAGTGCACTGGGAAGGCTGGGTTTGTGCTTCACATGAGAAGTCAACTGGGTGGCCTTGAGACAATTATACACCCTAACTCTGTCTGCCTCACATGAGGTGTCATGCTACCTTCCATTATTTGAGGAAAGATAGGATATACATATAATGGGAGAGAGGGAGGAGAAGGAAGGAAGAAAGATTTCCATTATATTTTATTCTACGAATAGCTTTCTTCATTCTGATGTTTTCTGAATCCAAACATGACACCCTGACAAGCAAGTCTGGCACTGCCCTCCTTCCATTACAAAACTGCCGAGTACCCACCTGTCACCAGAGGAGAATGGGCGAGTGAGGGCTCTAGGATGATCACAGGCTGGAGTCGAGTGGACAGGGGGCTTCCTGGGTCATGTTGCTCTAAGCTGGTGGACAGAAACACAGGCGCATGGGTGCTGGTGAGGACAGGAACCTTGTGTGCGAGGCCAGGGAGTGTCCTGTGATCTCCATCTCCCTAAAGAAACACAAAGAGAAATAATTGGACAGAGTGGTTAAAAGAGCATCCCTTTGAATCCATTAAACTACTTTCTCAACCCTGAAACAGTTGTGACATCAGGGATTTTATTTTGATCAATAAGAGCTAGTCAATTTCTGACAGTCTTCTATTTGGTTGTCAAGATCCTCAACCCCTTTATCCCCAAAAGATAAGTAGATCTTGGTATTATCCAGTCAGGCTCATTTTCTCATTCATAAGGTAGAATGAGTATACGGAATCACTTCATGAAAAAGTGTGCAGAATACAGACCTTCGGCACCTCCATCACTGTTTTTTTGTTTTTTGTTTACTAGAAAAGAGCTACCAATGAGAGTTTTAAGCTAGATTGTGTTGGTATTCTTTGCCCCACATTGCTGCTGCCTCTGACTCTTGCCATCAGGGGAATGCAAACCCAAAAGAACTTCTTTAATATAGGTCCTGGAGCATGGTTTCCTGGGTTTCCCATTCCTGGTCTACTCTGCAGATGCTCTTCAGAGATTTTACTGAAAATAATCAGTTATTCTAACAGAAAAATAAGTTATTCAGCATTAAGGGTTTTATATCTCACCCGGACAGGTGATGCTGAAGTGGCTGGCAGTCCAAGGGTAAGCGCTGGGAGGGAGCCACTGGTCTGAAGAGCAAACTGGGCCAATGAGCTCTCTTGCATTCTCAGGCGCTGAGCTAGTGGTGTCTGCAGCAAAAGAGGGCGGGGAAAACATCCACACAAATTGTAAAACTTTGGCATTACACACAGACAAGCTTCTGAATGAACACAGTACCCATCTGCCATCAAATCTCTGTCAAAATGCATAGGACTGGAACAAAGCTTCTTAGGTTATGTAATGTAGTGACTGGCAATGATAATAATTACACCATTTTAAGAAGCACTATTTCTCAAAGGTATTCCAACACAGGATAGAACGAATTTTCCTATTTTTTCCAGTGAGAAAAGCATTTCAACCTATGGAGACAACCCACTGACAACAACTGTGGGGGTGTGTGGGAGATGACATATTGAAATGTTTTTGCAAGAAGAAAGAAAGACAAAAGCTGAGGGTGCATCTACACTATAGGATGAATAGAGTATGACAGCACTTCAATTGCTATGGCTCAATGCTAAGGAATCATGGGAGTTGTACTTTGGAGAGGCACCTGTAATCTTTGGCAGGAAAGCCAAAGGCATTATAAAACTACAACTTCCATTATTCCTTAGAATTGACTCATGGAAGTTAAAGTCATGTCAAACTGTGTTAATTGTATAGGGTAGATGCACCCTTAAGTTTGTGTATTTTTGCATAAAAAAGATTATTTGGGCAAATGATGGAAAAATAATTTTAAAAATGTGCAAAAGCTCTTAATCTCACCAAGGCAAAAATGAAGTGATTTTTTTATATATGGAACATAGATGAGGGCTTGCCAGAAGCACAGTCCATGTGGCATGGCTGCTTAGGAACAAGCTTCCCAGACTGATTTTTGTGCAGGACTTTTTTGGCATAGGAAATGTCAAAAACAGTTCTTTGAAACTATAAAAATACTACAAGAGGGAAATTGATAGACACAAAATGGCAAAATGCAATAGTGAGAAATATCTCAGAGTAGTAATGCTTCCCCTCCTCCCCAATACATATTTCCCTGGATCTTTATGTGCCATGCACTACTCCAAACCTCTAGTTCAGTGGTTCTCAACCTGTGGGTCCCCAGGTGTTTTGGCCTAAAACTCCCAGAAATCCCAGCCAGTATACCAGTTGTTAGGATTTCTGGGAGTTGAAGGGCAAAACATCTGGGGACCCACAGGTTGAGAACCACTGCTCTAGTCAAATAGATAAATAAATATACATTAGTCCTCACAATTGAGCTACCAGGATTTGCCCTGTTTGGGCACAATTTGCCCTTTAAATGTGTTTCCCCCTAGCCTTGGTTATAATAAAAAGTTTAATGAAACAAAAGGGGCTGGATATGTCCTCCCCCCCCCCCAAAACAACAATTTGCCTATCTCTGAAACAGCACACATATTTGTTTGTGAATTAGCTTTGAACTGCAAAGAAGTACATATTCTCATTTGTTCCCACCCAAAGCAAAGAAAGCTGTTATGTTTATTTCTTTAACTGTATTCACTCCCTTGTCAACAAAATGTACCATATAAGCAAACAAGAAGGGCTCATGTACAACAAAATATAAATACAGGCTGCCTGAAAAGATAAACATGGCCAGACCATCAGCACTCTAAAACAATGAAGGAGAGGTGAAACATGGCCTTCTGGGTGTTGCTGGAGTTCAAGTCCCATCAGTCATTGAGAGAAGAGCACATTACCAGAATTTATGTGAACTAAGTTTTAATGAAGGATGAGACCATGTGGTGTAGTTGTTTGAGTGCTGGATGAGAACTCTGAGAGACCACAATTTGAATCCCCTGTTCACCCATTCATCTCATTGGATGACCTCAGGCAATCACAGTCTATCAGTCTCAGAGGAAGGAAACACATCTTACCAGGAAAACCATAAAAATGAGAGTCAAAATCAAGGTGAGTAAGAACACAAAATATCTGAAGGGACTGATGTTATCAGGGTCTCATCCTGTCTAGATCACAAAACGTAGGTCCATACCTCTTGCATGAGTCCTGGTGCTGGTGGAAGGGCCCCGTGTTCAGGCACAAGACTGTCATTGGGTGAGCTGCAGCCGGAGACTGGGGTGCTGCTGCTGCTGGGAGATGAATCTGTTGGTGACAAAGAATAAATACAAGTCCTGGATGAACAAGGAAAGTAAAACAAAGGGAAAACAGAAGGTCATTTAAGTTGGAAAGGTAGATTGGCAGAGGAGCACTCTATGGCTTGGATCAAGAAAAGGGAATGTTTTCCAATCTCAAGACAGAATTCAATTTTAGATTTAAAAAAAAATTGAGAGTGGCATTCTAGTGGTAGCCAAAAGACTGAGGCCAAAATACCAATCCTTTCAAGAGGCATTTCAGCCTTTAAAAATGAGAAAGAAATTGTACAAAAGGAAGAAATGTCATGAGGAAGAAGCCATTGCTATGGGGGAAACCCTATAGAGCTGGATTTGACCTCAGGTCTTGAAGTCATCCACCCCAGGCTCAGATACGGCATTGGCATGGGAAGCACCATGTTTTCCTTGTTCACGATTCCATCCAGCTATTTCAGACTTGATTTCAAATAAATGGAGCCCCATGTGGGCTAAAAGTCTAGCTCAATGAAGACTAATGATGAAACTATAAAACACTTGGAATTCCATGTCCAAACCATCTTAAGTAGCAATGGATGCTCCAGAGCAGCCTCTTGCCAACACTTTCCAGAATCCCCAGATGCTGTCTGAATGTGGTGGAAGTTGTCTCCAAACACCTCCAGAGATTGTGGGTCTTCCAGAGCAAGAACTCCTTGAGTAAACTCTTCCAGTGTCTTTTTCTTACCAATGGCTTCTGGAGGACGCCTCCTCAAGGAAGGGGGTGCACTTTCCTTGCGGGTCAGTGGGTTTTTGCGCCGCTCACCAGCCTTTTTAGCCTTATAGCGCAGCTTCAGGTTGGGCTCCGATGCTGAAGCAAATTCAGACAAGAACATAAGAAATCATGTTGTATGACAGATCAGAAGTCTAGCAAATTCATAAATGTTGATTCCATAAGAAGGGGAAAGAATAAGGACATTGACCCCTCAAATAAAGTATTTTACCTCCTTGATATTTTCCTTCTGTTGTCAAATTTCAAGTGTTGCAGAGGATGAGACATTGTAAATTGTCCACACTTAGAACTCTTTTTTTGTTGTGTTTGCCTTACTTTGTTTCCTTTAATTTTCCAATATTTGGATGCCTAAAAGTGTATTTCTAAATGCTTAAATGATGTTTTAAGTCATTGCAATGCTAGAAATCTTGGGTTTTGTTTATTGTTGCTAACTGCCTTCAAGTTGACTTTAACTTATGGCAACCCTTTGAAGAGTGACCTCCATGACACTCTTCTCAGATCTAGCAGACTCAGGACTGTGGCTTCCTTGAGTAAGTATATCCACCTGAAATGTGTTCTTCCTCTTTATGTACTACCTTCTATCTTTCCAAGCATGACTTTCTTTAATAATGATTCATATCTTCTCATGTTTTGACCCAAGCACAACATCTCAATTTAGTCTGAATGTAGTCATCTTGGCTTTTAGGAAGAGTTCAAGCTTGAGTTACTCTAGGACTCATTTATTTGTATTGTTAGAAATTCACAGCATTGACAGAATTCTCCTCCAAATGAACTGATTATCTTTCTCTCAGCTTTCTTCATTGTCTAGCTTTCACAGCCATACATGGAAATGAATACAATGGCAAGGACCATCCTAACTTTAATATACTATTGTATATTTTTGCATTGCAAGAGCTTGCCTAGTTTGTTCATGGCCCCTTCAAATCCCAATCTTCTGATTTTTTTTACTGTGGTCTCCATTCTGATAAATGACTGAGCCAAGGTATGGAAAATATTGAACTATTTCAATGTTCTCATCATGCACTTCACACCAGAAGAGACTTGTAGTTTCTCAAGTCACTTCTGACATGATAAAAAAATTCTACTTTGAAGTTTAAATTTGGACAGTGAAGGAAAATTTCACTGAGAAGGGATTCATATTGGGGACAATGTTGTCATCGCCAACGTCCCACTCCTATCTACAGCCCTGATCCTTGGGTGATTAAGAATGAGAATGTATTAATAACAAAAAATGAATAACAGCTGAACAGAGGCATTATTTCTACTTCTTTAGCTTATTTTATATATTTTTCCTTTCCCCCCCCCCCCCCAATATTTTCCTTTCTGTCTTCATCCTCTCAAATGAAAATTGTATATACAACTCTGATACAAAAGGRGAAAAAATGACAAGAAATGAAGCGGAAACAAGGCAAAGTYTAATGGTTCCATTATGGTTCCCATGATGACTCTCTGGAAGAGGACTGCACTATCTGTGGCCCTCCAACTGTTTTGGCTCCCAACTCCCAGAAGCCCTAGCCAGCTTGTTCAATGGCCAGGCATTCTGGGAATTGGAGGCCAGAACAGCTGGAGGGCTGCAGGTTCTTCAGGTCTGATTTTGAGGAAAGACAACTGAGAGATAGAAGGAACCTAATGGAGATGGTCTCAGCACAGTCCTTAGAGTTGGCTCTTCTTCTCACCTTCTGCTACAACCTGGCTGTTTACAAGCAACTTATAACAAAAAGCTGTTGTGGCAACCACCTTCAAAGTGATTCCAGTTTTTCATTCTGGATTATAGTTTCATGTGTGATTAAATCTATCAATTGATCCTTGCCTGTTTTTTTTTTATTTCTGCTCTACCCATCGAAGCTGTCTTCATGAGCACACAGGCAGAAACTGTTGATCATCTTTATCACTATCTTAATAAAGGTTTCATCAGCGGTCTTCTGCAGGTCAGAGCAAGTAGCTGTTAATGACACAGAAGCAGTAAGGCTGCTCCCTCCATTTGCCATTTGGCAATCCTAGTTGCCAAAGAAAACTCTCTCAGTTGCACCCGCTCACCTGTTTTCCTTAATGGGAAATGTTCTGGAGAGTCCCCGGAACTGTTTGAGACAGGAGGGAAGAAACTGGAAAGCACAGGATTGACTGGGGTTTCATGTTCCATTGGCTCCAAGGACCTGTATGGAAGGGAAGAAAGAGATTGGCTGTTCACACTCATTTAGCATTATGCCATAGTGGCAGAGCAAATGAGTTGCATACCAGGCAGTTTCTTGCTCAAAACTCTCCTCATCTGTCAACTATGTTTGTATTTGTAGCCCCAGAGGTGATCTTTCCTATTTATTTATCAAGGCATTTATTTCTCTTTTTGCCCTAGACAGTGATAATTGTAATGCTAGTGTTTTGCCTGCAAATCACTCAATTGCAAAGTGAGCTTTACCCTCTTCCCAGTTCAAAATCCCAAGAAATACCCTTCTACTATTTCCTTCTACTATTCCCCGACAGAAATCCAGCCTTCCTTCTTCCGGCTTTCAGGAAACAATCAACAAATAGGAGTGTTTATTTTGCGCAGAGCCACCTGAATCAAGGCAACAGGTAATGTAAATGTTTTGCAAGCTGTCTGTAGGCAAATGGACGGCTCCTCTTTGATGACCAACCCTGAATGCTGAGCATGCAAATAACTCAACTACTCCAACAAAGGGTGTCACAAAAAAAGTGACAACTGGGTAACTGAAGGTGTGCCAAGCTCACTTGCATGACACTGCCAAGGGAATGGAGTGGGAAGCAACAAGCTGTGTGTACTGGAGGTGTAATGCTAGACATGCAAATTAAGATCCTAAGGTATTTTAACTACTTCATGTTGCTAGAACAGGAGCACACCCAGGAAATATAGTGGAAGGATTACAGAGATATAAAAGAAAATGCATTTAAAACTACCCCCCTCAAAAAACCCCTATGAAGCAAAATCTGATGTTTACTTGGAAATTGTCCTTATTATGCTAATTATTCCTTATTCAAGGGAAGATATGCATAGAACTGCCTTCATACAGAAAGTCCTTTCTAGCCAAAGAAGGCATTACAGTCATTATAAGGAGGCAGAAATGCAGACAACAACTTAAACGTTATGGATAACAATATTGTTTTAAAAGGTAAAGGTTTCCCCTTGACATTAAGTCTAGCCGAGTCCAACTCTGGGCCAAAGAGCCGGCATTGTCTGTAGACATCTCCTAGGACATGTGGCCAGCATGACTGCATGGAGTGCCATTACCTTCCCACCAAAGTGGCACCTATTGATCTACTCACATTTCCATGTTTTCAAACTGATAGGTTGGCAGAAGCTGGGGCTAACAACGGAAACTTCATTGGCACAGTGGGTTAAACCCTTGTGGTGGCAGGACTGAAGACCGACAGGTCGGAGGTTCGAATCCGGGGAGAGTATGGATGAGCTCCCTCTGTCAGCTCCAGCTCCCCATGTGGAGACGTGAGAGAAGCCTCCCACAAGGATGATAAAACATCAAAACATCCGGGCATTCCCCTGGGCAATGTCCTTGCAGATGGCCAATTCTCTCACACCAGAAGCGACTTGCAGTTTCTCAAATCATTCCTGACACAAACACAAAAGAGAGCTCACCCCATCCGCAGATTCAAACCGCCTATCTTCCAGTCAGAAAGTTCTACAGCTTAGCAGTTTAACCCGCTGTGCCACCACAGCCTCAAAATACTGTTAGGCTTCCAATAATACCAGCATCCAGATAAGCCAGGGTACAGTCCAGGATATAAAACCAGCCCAACCAGCTAGAAAATCAATAGCCAAAATGACTTCACCCCCACAAGTTAAGTTGTTTTTCCCTCACAGTCATGTGGAATGTGTCTCAAACGTTCCATCTAGTAGTGATGGCTTATGGCTCCATGTCAATGGAGTAGTGAATCCACCCTAGAATTTCCCTTGCACGTTAAAAGAGCAATCCAAAGTGATGAAACCAGATTAAGAATCCTGAAAATAAGATTCAAGAACCCTGGACAGCTGTTTTAAAGTTTGGACAAGCCAAAAAACAGATTCACTCCTCCACCACTGTCAAATGTACACACTGACATAGAAACAATCAGATGCTCTGTTGACTGGTAATGTTAGCTGGGGGTGATGAGTTGTGTCTTTCATTATACCTTTAAAGTGCTGGGCTAGGGAAGGTTGGCTTACAAATAAAGGTCTGGTGAATTATATAGCCAGAGTGTACGTATTAACAAACATGATTTTGTTAATGCAAGTACATGCATTAACAAACAGCTCACCTGTAGGACATGACAGGGGCATTGGTCCTCTCCAGAGCAGCCTGTTGTTTCTTCAGGATTACCTCTGCCAACTTCTGCTTTACAACCATACTTGCAACAGCACCTGTTGAAGACAAGAGGACAACTAATATTAACATTTTTGGAGGTCCTTCCACACAGCTGAATAAAATCCTACGTTTTCTGCTTTGAACTGGAATATATGGCAGTGAGGACTCAGAGAACCCAGTTCAAAGTAGATATTTTCTGCCTTGATATTCTGTGTTATATGGTTGTGTGGAAGGGCCCTGTGATGCTACCTCACTTGGATTGCTTTTGATACCCCCAACTATGTTACAACTGGAGACTTGGAAAGAATTCACATGTTGGGTTATTTTTGTTGGTGGGGAGTATGTATAAAATCAGCATTTGCTGTGCAGGAAACAACTATTTGGAAAGTTTGTGCAGCATAAGACTCAAATTGCAAACACTATCAACACTCCAGGATTCTTCCCATCAGGGTTTCCAAGTTTTTGTACCATGGGGTTGGGTACAGAATATCATTTTCATCCCTACTGGCTCTTCATATCTCCCTTTCATAGCCCTTTCTTTCAATGTTTCTGAAATCTTGCACAACAATTGCTAGCATAATTTTGACATATTATTTCAGTTCAGAAAAAAAAAAAAACACTCTTATTGTGTTACCGTGGCGTTTTCCAGGCTGTATGGCCATGTTCCAAAAGCATTCTCTCTGGAATATGGCCATACAGCCCAGAAAACTCACAGCAACCCAGTGATTCCGGCCATGAAAGCCTTAGACAACGCATAATCACTCTTATTGCTATAAATACTGTATGTTAAAATTATATTTGCATGTTTCTATTTGTGCTATAATAGCAGAAAATGGCAAACAACTTTGAAATCATCCAGGATATCCATCCACTTAATTCAGGAATACTGTCACTACAGCATGACTGACAGATGGCTATCTAACTAAAATGATCTTCTGAGGAGGAAAACCCACCACTTCCTGAAGCAATCTGTTCAATGGCTGAACATACTTATTTTTAAGACTTTTCTTCTAGGGTGCTTTTACATTACACAATTACAGTATGAGCCCCCCCCCTCCCCCAAATATCTGTTATTTTGTTTATTCATGTCCCCAAAAATGTCCTCTCTAGGCAATTTCTAGCCACAACTTCTGGCTATTCATGCTCCAGAAATCCTTCATTTAAGAGGCTTCACTATTATCCATGGTTTTGTGTATCCAAAGCCCAGAATGGGGGGGGGGGGGACATGCTATAACACTATGATTCTCCTTCAACCGTTGTGACTCAACCCTATGGAATCCTAGAATTCAGGGAGTTCAGGGAGAGCAAGAAGAATTCTCAACCAGACACGAATGCCAAATACCAAGAATCCACATGACAGTGTCATGACAATAAAAATGAAGTCCTAGCACTGTGGTTGTGTCGTGTGAAAGGATGCCTAGTGAAGAATCAATATCTACTTCTTGAGAGTGGACAACCATCAGTTTCAGTCTAGCCCCTGAATGACTGTGGGCATCTCTGCATGGCACACTTTCTAATAGTTAAAAAAGGTCTCATGTCTCCCTTTAATCTTTTCTTCCTCTGGCTGAAGTTACCTCTTTCAATTGCTTTCCATGGGACTTGATTTCCAGACCCCTCCGCTGTGCACTGTAATAATCAATTTAAAAAAGTGGAACCCCCGAAGGGCACAGGACTTCTTATATATAGTCTGACCAAAAGACCCCCAACTCCTTGACTTGATCAAGACCCAATGCAACCTAAGTTTATATTATCTTGTTTAACAGTCACATTGTTTTGCTGGTCTGTGTTCAGCTTGTAATCTGCTATCCAGTGGTTCTCAACCTGTGGGTCCCCAGATGTTCTGCCCTTCAACTTCCAGAAATCCTAACAGTTGGTAAACTGGCTGGGATTTCTGGGAGTTGAAATCCAAAACACCTGGGCACCCACAGGTTGAGAACCACTGTGCCATGCAATGAAGTCAGAACGCAGATTTTCTATTCATGCTATTTGTGGTGTGTTGTTTAATAGTCAAATATGTATTACATGAATTCAGGATTTCATCACATTTCTTCATCACATCATTTCTCTCCATTTTTACATGTTGGCAAAATGGTCATGCTATGACGCACTGCCACTTCTGATGGCCACTCATCGGAATCCATGTTGCCAGTGTGTTACAATGGAGAGAAGACTCCGTTCTCAGAAGTCAATGTTTGCTATGTATTACAACATTTAAAACCAACAACAACATTATTGCAATGTTGGAAATTGCTCCTTTTCAGGAGAAGCGGGGGAGGACAAGAAGGAGAATGCTAAAAGGGCACAGTAATGCATAATTTCCATATAATTGTATACATGTGTCCATTCCTGTGCCATACACATACACACCTAGTAGAAGTTATGACCCTAGATATGTTACCTGTGTCCTTAAGATTTCACTCTGTATTATTCTAGCTGTCCTATTTGTCTCATCATTGGAAAGGCTGTGAGAAACAAATACCTCTGATTTTGGGATTGGGTCACCTGCAGTATAACAATGACCCTACTTTTTAGAGCAGCGTTTCTCAACCTGGGGGTCGCGACCCCTAGAGGGGTCGCCGGGCCATTTCGGAGGGGTCGCGGACCCATGTCCATTAGCCCCGCCCCCTCCACCAGGCTGCGCAGTGCTGCCTCAGTCGCCTGGCTATCGCCAGCTTTCGCCACTTGCCAGGACCGACGGGCGGCGTGAACCAGGCAAGGGGCTTCCCGCCAGGCCAGGCCGTGCTGCCTCCCTCACCTGGGTTGTGCCGCCTGCCGGGTCTGTCAAGCGGCAAAAGCCAGGAGAGGAAAGCAGCACCGCATGGCCTAGCCTTGCGGGTATCCCCTCGCCTGGCTCGTGCTGCTTGCGAGGCCCGATGGGCGGCGCGAGCCAGGGGAGGGGCTTCCCGGCAGGCCAGGCCACGCGGTGCTGCTTTCCTCTCCTGGCTTTTGCCGCTTGACAGACCCGACGGGCAACGTGAGTCAGGCGAGGGAGAAGAAAGGAAGGAAAGGGAGGGAAAAGGAAGGAAAGAAAGAAGGAGAGAAGGAAAGAAAGAAAGAGACAATGATGGAAAGAAAGAGAGAGAAGGGAGGAAAGGAGAAGGAAAGGGGAGGGGAAAAAAAGGAAAGGGCTGGCAGGCAGCGGGAGGCGCACCCGTCTCTTTGGCCACTCTCCTCTTGCTGCTCCTGTTGCCCCCAGATGGGAAACCAGCAGCCGCCATGCCAGCAGCAGGGCCAAAGGGCAGCAAGAAGACTAGGAGCATAGTGAAGAGAGACAGATGCTCCTCCCGCTGCCTTCCAGCTCTGCAGCCCCAGGTGCTTTCCTTCCTCGCTCTTTCTTTTTTCCTTCTCTTTATTTCTTTCCTTCTTTTTCCCAATCTTTTCCATTTCCTTCCTTCTGCCGTAATCCCTTCCTTCCTTTCATCTTTCCCTTCCCCGGCCCCTCCCTCCTTCATTCCTTATTTTCCTCTGCTCTTGGCCCCTCCCTCCCTCTCTCCCTCCATTCAGATCCAGCTCCACCCCTCATCCTCGCCCTTCGCAGCCACTGGGGCAGAGAACTGTAGCAGCAGGGCCAAGGGGCCATGGATGCAGCAATCTCATCCCTCTGCCTCCATGCGCCTCTCGAGTGCACCAGGATTCCAATTCCAGGATATCAGGTTTTTATGCCAAATTTGATAAAGATCCATCATTGTTTGAGTTCACAGTGCTCTCTGGATGTAGGCAAACTACAACTCCAAAATTCAAGGCCAATGCCCTTCCATGGACTATTATTATTATTATTATTATTATTATTATTATTATTATTATTGCTCCTGCAGTAATTCTATCTTCCTGTGTGACAGAAAGAAGAGGCTGGACTACATGACCTTTGGGGTTCCCTTTCAATTGTATGAGTCTTATAATACTACATAATAATAACAATACACTAATTCTATATTCCTGCCTGGTATAAAGGAGGGGGCTGGACTAGATGACCTTTGGGGGTCCCTTCCAACTGAGTCTAATAAATAATAATAATAATAATGATAATAATAATAATAATAATAATAATAGTAATGTATAATTAAAAAATAGTAACTCTTATTTTCCTGCCTGGCATAAAAGGGGGCTGGACTAGATGACCTTTGGGGTCCCTTCCAACTGAGAATAATAATAATAATAATAATAATAATGTATAATAATAAAATACTAACTCTTATTTTCCTGCCTGGCATAAAAGAGGGGGCTGGACTAGATGACCTTTGGGGTCCCTTCCAACTGAGTCTAATAATAATTAAAAAAATAGTAACTCTACAACTCCCAAATGTCAAGGTCTATTTTCCCCAAACTCCACCAGTGTTCACATTTGGGCATAATGAGCGCTTGTGCCAGGTTTGGTCCAGATCCATGGTTGTTTGGGTTCACATTTGCTCTCCAGATGTAGGTGAACTATATCTCTCCTAAATCACTGCCAACCCCCTCCAGTATTTTTTTGTTGGTTATGGGGGTTCTGTGTGCCAAGTTTCATCCAGGTCTTTCATTCGTTGGGGGTCTCAGTTGTCTGTGGAAGTCAGAACTGAATCTGTTGAATGGTACTGCAAAGCCCATCATCCATTGTCCATACTCCTCCAAATATGTTTTGGTGATTAATCTCTATGCTTTAATTATGTTCAATTTGTAATGATGAAAATACATCCTGCATATCAAATATTTACATAACGATTCATAACAGTAGCAAAATTACAGTTATGAAGTAGCAATGGAAATAATTTTATGGTGGGGGGGGGGGTCACCACAATGTGAGGAACTGTATTTAGGGGTCACGGCATTACAAAGGTTGAGAACCACTGTTTTAGAGGGAAAGTGGTGCATCATGTAGTCTGCTGAGATTAAGGAAGAAGCTTCAAATAATGTGTATCTTTAAAAAACTGGGAAAATAATATTGTGGAGGCCAGGGTGCAGCTCCAAAGACTGACACTAGATGGCAGAAAGGGTTAACATATGGAGACCCAATGTCACTAACATCATATAGAATTAGATGTTCCACTAGTTGCTACCAATGAGGACTGTGTGTGCGTGC